ATCTAGCCGTCTACCCGCGCTCTGCATCGCTTGTCATGCCAGGCATCTCAAGCTAGCAACCTGGTCGTCTTGCGTTCTCGCTCGAGTCGCTCAACATCACGGCCGGGATGTAGAGATTGTATGCCACGCAGCCTTCTCAGTTGGCTCTACGTGGCTTCTGGTCCAAGGACCCCGGTAAAGTGCATGATCCCAAGACTCTGGCCCGATTGCAGTGCCGAGACGTCTCAGAACGCCTTGTACATCAAGTCTACGGGGTGTTTTTTTTTCCCCCGGAAAAACTCCAAACTGTGCTCGAGACGCACCTCAGACGGCGAAATGTTAATTTGGTGCATTGCTGACGGCGAGCGCTACTAGAGGAGAGCGGCAGAAAGACATCGACCAGACGGCGAAACACCTCGCCGCGCGCATAGGAAAGCCGACTCACAGACTTTGTGTAAGGGATTCGGCCGGCTTCGCGATGTACGCCATACACGGTGGGCGCTGTGCAGATTTGTACAGAGTACTGGCAATACAAAGCGGGCAGGCGAACCTGAGTGGGGTCAAAATGAATTAATATTATACAATGCAAAGAATCTACGCAATGTAAAGCTAAAAGCAACTAATATAACTAAAGACTCCTTCCCTCCTAACTCCTATAACATGTCTGTTCCCTAAATTGCAACACATAATCTCCCTCCTTCTTTTCCGTTTCCACGGCAAGGCCGTGGTCTCTATGTCCCTCTCACAAAACAGTACTGACAGCACGAGACGCTGCAATCGAAAGAATCCCTTGGCACAGTAAAACCGCACGTTTTACCGGTCGCTTGTATCTTTATGCTCATGACCTTCGTTCTTACACGTTTCAAACCATCATATAGCATCTCCCTAAATCTGTCCATTCTTACGTCTTTTTGTTGTGTTGACAAGGCATTTATTCGCAATCGTTTCACATCCTGATGATGGCGCCCACCCGTTTTTGGTTCCCAAGTTGGTTGAAAGAGTTGATCTCAGTAGAGTGGCACCTTAGTGAATCTTCTCGCCGTTGATCTTGGGGCCGAACTCGTCATAGGGATGCTTGATAGTCAAGCACCAAATATCGAGGTAGTCACAGATGGACACGATGACATCGACGACGAAGCTGCCATAGACACCAAAAGCAATACCAAGGATGAGAAAAACAAAGGAAACCTGGTATTCGTCGTGCCCAAGAGCGCTAGGCCAGCCAATGCCGAATCGCTTGACGAAAACAGGGCCAAGAGAGTCGATAACACCGCACGCTAGGGGGATGCTGAGGACATTCCAGTAAGGGAAGGGAAGCTTGACGAGGTGGGCTGTGATCATCCGTCCAACACTGTAGGCATTGACAATACCGGCAAAAAGTACGAAGGGAACGAGGTGGTGGTACAAAATGTTGGGCTGCAGGTGCAGATAGGTGACTATCAGAGTCCAAACGCCGAAGAAAGGCAACAGGCCGACAAGAGCCCCGCGGGAGCGGTCACCTCGTTCATGACGGGCTCGGATGACGTTGAAGGAAGACTCGACCGTATTGAGGACTAGGACGATGGCGCCTTGGACTAGGTACCACTCGGTGAAGGAGAGCTCGTAAATTAACGTAGGAATTCCCAAGGTCTCAGGAATACCAATTGCTTTGAGCATGCTCTGCTGCCAGATGTGGGCTCCGCCGAGCAAACCAGTCAGAGTGTAAACGGCGACCAGAATCAAGACACCTTCGACTGGACCGTTGACAATGCCGAGTGTGAGTGTCTTGGTGTGGTACTCATCCCAGGTCTGAACGTAGAAAGTGAGGAGAGCTACAATTCAACGAAACGTTAGCAATCGGCATTTCCAGTTCTACGCATCAATAAGGGAAGAGCGAGAGCGGGCGTACAAGCAAACAGAGTCGCAACCGTCTTCCAGCCTTGGCCCATATTCTGAGAAGCAGCGAAAATGAGAACCTCAAGACTAGTATTGAGAGCGTCGACACCATGGTCAAATAGCTCGCCGAGGGGACCGGATTGCTTGGTTCGGCGTCTACGGGTCGCGTTAGTTGTCAATATCCATAATCGGCTCGAACTCCATTTCGGTTTTGGCTGACTTTGACGCCGAGATGCGAAAGGAGCGGGTTATCCGGGAACCACGGGGTGTGGACTCACGCCTGAGCACCGTCGACGGCGTCAAAAGTCTGGTACAGGAAGAGACCCAGAGCCCAGCTGAAATACACCCAAGCGGGACAGTCCTGGTCGAGGGTAGGATTATACCACAGGAGCGTCAAAAAGTTGATCACCACAAACAGAAATCCAGTCAGTGTGATTAAATTGGGGGCCATGCTCATGGGAAACAGCTTGATGACGAAATTATTGTAGAACGGCTTGAGGATGTACTTGGAAGTGAGCGACCGATCAACCGAAGAGTACTTGTACTCTTTGAGCGCCGGGAGCTGGTTGTGTCGGAGGTAGACCATCTTAGGCGATGTGCGAGGGCAACTACGGAAAAAGAAACACAATTGTAAGAGAGCATGCGCGTGCGCGACTGATAGTTGACGGAGAACTAACCGGTGTGCCGCAAAATATTGTGTAGGTGGTCGACGAGTTGATGGTAACAAGTGGTGCAAAGTCAAAAGGGGTGTGGGACGTCCGGATGTCGACTTAGTTCAGACAATCGCAGGCAGGCTCAACCATGAAGAAGCAGAGGCTAAGGAAGGAAAGGGAAGAGTCAGGTCAGCAGCCAGCCAAAGCCAGAGGCACTCAGCCCTTTGATCAGAGCCGCGCTCGCAAGATTAGGATTTCTAGACACGCAGACTGGAAACAGAAAGGGATGCTGGTATTGAGGGGGGGAAGAAGGAAACTTCGGGATCGTCGAGAGTTGACGGATTTGACGAGGGAGGGCGGCTTACTTGCAGGGTTGCGCCTTCCTCTTTTTTTCGAAGTTCCGTTCGTGTCGCGTGGCATTACGAGTATCAGTACCGGTAGGTATTCCTTGGAACGAAATGACCTATTCCAGCGCCTGAAAGGGTGCACCAATGCAGTACCGGGTACATGCCATGGTACAATGCTACAGTGGACACTTAGCAAGGTTCGTGAAAGCTACATACGTGCTGCGTGCCGTGCGCTGGCTTTTCCCCTTCTAGCGGGGTTTTCCTTGAGCTGCTCCTGCTTTCTTTGACGTGAAATTTTTCGGACTGGGACTGGCGGGACTGAGGCCGTCGGCAACGTCATTTTCCCCCTGTGCCGTTCCGCGCTAGTCCTGTTACGGCTCACCCTCTCACATTCTGGGCAGACCACCCCAGATGCACGGCATCCCTTTGAATGTGCAAAGGCGCGTTAGGTGTACCGAACTCTGGTTCTAGCCAACCAAAAACCTAGTAATAAAAGGTATATTATTCCATTCAAAAATATAATAATAGTAAAAGTCGTCATTGTTTTTAAGTTAATAAAATCCTCCTTCTTACTTATTATTATTTTAATAAAATAAATCTTAATTTTACTATTAGATTAGTACCGGTGAGATATTGCAGAAAAAGTGGAGATAATACACCACACCCGAACCTACGCACATTCAAAGGGATCTGTACGTACAGGGTATCACGTGTTTCTCCAGCCAATGCCTGCACCGTCACGGAGCGTGGAATGCAACCATCTGTAGACCACGCGACACGTTGCACAAGATGGGTTGCAAAGATTGTCATAGCAGGTTACAAGATCAAAATCCTCACACTCGCTGACCAACGCAACGTTGATTGCCTCTATCCAATGTATACGGATAAGCGCGTCTCAAATAAAGGGGCAGGCAAGCGTGCCATTCACAAGGCGAATGAGACTATTCCTCCAGACGTTTATGCAAAACGCAGCGTTGAACGATTGTACGCCGTCAGACCCCATATTTCAGCGTTGCCATGCCGTTCATAGTGTACGAAACTACTCCTCTTGTTGTCCTCCACGGCTCAGAAGTAGCTTTAACAGAAACTTCAGACGGCATTCGGTTGGAACCATGAGCCTGCTTTATTATCATGTACTGGTCGTCTCCGTGCCGATTTGGTAGTAAAAAAAAATACTCAAATTGCCACAATACTCGTGCAATGTACTTCGTTGCTGAGGATTGTAGATGAGATCAAAGGTTGCTCAAGGGCTTGTAGCAAACGCGCATATCTTCTCGTCTCTCAAGTGCCATGTCACATTTGTCGAAAGCGCCAGTATATTATAGCCACCTACCACAAATCCTAACCACTGCAGCTCATAAGAGCTTCAATACTTGACAAATTATTTTCAACGTGTCATACATCCTAGTGTCGGAGGCCCACCTGAGTATTTATAAGAACACAAGCTGGTGTTGCATAAAGGAGACGTACACAACCAACGCGGTAGGGAATATCAGTATCCGATCAATAACTAATCAAACAAATTTCTCTGTGAATCCTTTTTATGCTAAGTGTCTTACTGCTCGTTGAATACTAGGGTTCCACGGCCAAGGTGGGAGAAAGGTGAGAAAAGGGTGAGTAACGCAGATGCACATGGACCATCTGCCTGTCCGACGCACAGGATGCGTTTGCCTTCTCTCCTTGCCTCACCAACTTTCCACGTTTACTCTTCCCTAAACGGAGAAGTGGCTCTAGCAATGAAGTTTCTGCACTTATCTGTTTAAAACCCCGACGAGTCGCAGAGTAACAAACCTCACTTGAGCACCTCCACGTCTCCTTCCAACCAAAAACAAACCACACGGAGTGCAGATCGTGCCTTCCCACTGTCACATGGCCAAACGTATCTCTAACTTTCTTTTGCGCATTATTTTGAGGTGCACAGTCAGATTCTTCCTCATTACGGACCGAATTCGCTTAAGCCATACTGACCAAGGCACAGGATTCTTCATTCTCAACAACCTAAGACTCCTAGGTTTCCAGAGCAAATATCTCGGGCGCATCGTCACGCATCAGAATACACATTTTGATTCAACGGAACCTGTGCTATATATTAGTTCAGCAACTGGTACACGTTTAAACGTTGGGCCTCGAATCCCTCATTCTAAACATGCCTCCACAACAAATAAAGCCAGAAGCTCGACAACAGAATCCTCTTTCTCACGGAAGAGGCAGTGGAAGTCGCATAGAAGGACTGAGAACTGCCTCGATTCCATCCTCGAACTCCCAAAATGAATGGCGAACAAGACCGTTTTTAACCATCAGAGTCAACAATCTACCCGTCGACATCTCCGCAGAGTATATTTGGAGATGGTTTGCATCAGAAGGGAATATCTTGTGGATAGATCTCTTTGATCCCAAGTCTGGCAATGGAACAATGTCTGCAAAGATTCGTTTTGAGCCTCCCCCACGACTCAATATCTGGGACCGAGGACCCGTCCGAGTCGAACATCCGGATACTCGACGGTATCCAACTGGGCTCAAGCTAATGGTGTCTCTTGACGAACGGCCACCGGTTAGCACATTGAAGAGCACTAGATACCCAGACAGGATCACACTCAAACTGAATTCTCTTGCGTTCGGTAGTATGTTGAGCCCATCCTTGATGCGAGTAATGAAAACCATCCATTCACCAGCAGGCATTCCTCTGGAACTTAATGTGAGAAGCAACATAATGAGCATCTCGTTCTCCACCGTTTCCCACGTCGATAATCGGGGAAGTTCAAGTTCCAAGGAATGCCAAGTGAGATTGAAAATCTCCAATATTAAGACAATCCTGGAGTCTACTGCCGACAACGAGAACGAGCTACGGCATTGGGTCATATCTCTGCCCTACCCTCAAGAATATTTTGAGAAAGTAGACAACATTATGGATACGTTCCAAGGAAATCCTCAAACATGGAATTTAAGCGATACTTGGCAACGGGCTACAGATATTTCTCCTGTTAGCAATGACGCGCATCCAATTTCTATCCACAATGAAGCACAGTTTGACGACTATATCGATATCGGGCGATGGACGACGTTCCGCCTTTCTTTTGACCCCAAAGGTAGAAAATTCGGCAGCGTATTTGCATCTCCAGGCCGCTTTCTACGACTTGAATGTTTTGGTCCGTCCAGGCTGTGTCTTTGACACCAAGACCGAGGCCCCTAGTTTGTGGGATTATCTCGAGCATCCACTGGCCGTACCCGCCAGCCAGCCTTCTGCTCTACTTAGTATGCCTCAAAAGATACACTTGCCTTTTGAGGTCCGCTACCAGCTCGAGGTGTGCATATCCCGGGGTGTTTTAAATGAATATACAATCGGCATTGATTTCTTGCAAGAGCTCAACAACCTCCGAACCATGGATGCAACCCACCGCCTCGAATACCTCGTGGACCAAAATGAAATACTATTTGATCCCATGAAGCTTTTCAGTATGGAAGATGCTACAGCCTTTGTTCCTGCCGCAAGAATTCCGCACTATTGCACCTATGTTCGCAAAGCGTCTATAACGCCGACTACCATCCGTTTCAACTCTCCAACCGTGGAGACATCCAACCGAGTCGTTCGGAAGTACAGCCACGTGCAGGATCGATTTCTACGGGTGCAATTCGTCGAAGAGTCCGAGTTGGTCCGGCTTGGAAAGACCAAATATAATAATGTCAAGGTCTGGAAACGCGTCGAGAGAGCTTTATCTCAAGGTATTCGCATTGGAGATCGACAATACGAATTCCTGGCATTCGGGAGCTCGCAGCTAAGACAGAGCAGCGCATACTTTTTCTGCCCTACTGACCATTTATCCTGCGAAGATATTCGCGCATGGATGGGACAATTTGACCACATCAAGTGCGTTGCCAAATACGCAGCACGTCTAGGGCAATGCTTTTCAACGACACGGGATATTAAAGGCATATGGGTGCCCGATATTAAGTACATTGACGACATACAGCGAAATGGTCAATGCTTCACCGACGGCGTGGGACTTATATCAAAGTTTCTCTCTCAGCTCATAATGGAAGAAATGACTTTGGATATATTTGATAAGCCGACGGCATTTCAATTTCGTATGGGAGGCTGTAAAGGAGTTCTTGCAGTTTGGCCACAAGCCCAGGGTATGGAAGTCCACATTAGAAAATCTCAAGAAAAGTTTAAATCCAATTTCCAGGCTTTGGAGATTGTACGCTGCGCAGCTCGTTCGACTGCAACTCTAAATCGTCAAACAATCACAATATTGGAAAGTCTCGGGGTGCGGAAGAAAATTTTTATGGAGCTCTTAAAGGAACAAATCAGCTGGTATGAAAATGCAACAAAAGATACCTCGGAAGCCATCAAGTTACTCACCAAGTTTGTGGACGAAAACCAGTCCTCGTTGGTTCTTGCCGAACTCTTGAAGGCCGGGTTCAAGACAGACAACATCCAGGAGTCATTTACTCTCAATATTTTTAATCTCTGGCTATCCTGGTCATTCCGCCTTTTAAAAGAAAAGACGAGAATACATGTGCCGAAGAGCGCTTTTGTCCTCGGATGCGTGGACGAAAGTGGAAGCTTACGAGGCCATTCTACCGAGACTGAAGGCAGTTCTGATCAGCTCAACGAAAAACAACTTCCTCAGATCTTCTTACAGCTCACGGACCCAAGTCATGAGGGTAAAACCAATACTATACAAGGGAAATGCATAGTGGGAAGAAATCCGTCACTTCACCCAGGAGATATTCGAGTTGTTCAGGCCGTGAATAACCCCAAGCTTCGACACTTGAAAGACGTTATTGTCTTCCCATCCAAAGGAGATCGGCCGGTGCCGGCCATGTTGTCTGGGGGTGACCTTGATGGTGATGATTTTTTTATTATTTGGGATGACAGACTTATTCCAGAGGAATGGAATCACAAGCCCATGGACTACGAAGCCCCAAGTCCCCGACAACTAGACAGAGATGTTACTGTTGATGATTTACGCGAATTCTTCGTCAACTACATGAAGAATGACAATTTGGGTCTGATTGCAGTCGCACATTTAGCATTTGCGGACATGTATGGACCAAAGTCACAGATATGTAAGTGGCTTCGTCCGTACTCATCGGTGAACTGCTAGTACTAATCTTCTGTATTAAAGGCTTGAGGCTAGCAGAGTTGCACTCTCAAGCCGTAGACTATGCGAAAACCGGAGAACCAGCAGAATTTGGTTACAAGATGCAGCCAGAACGGTGGCCGCATTTTATGGAGAAGAAGTCGACATATCGGTCGAAGAAAGCCTTGGGTGCTTTATATGACGAAGTGGCCAAACACACGTTCCAATTTCGTCCCGAGTGGGGGCACTCATTCGACGAGAGAATCCTTGAGAGATATGAATTTGACAAGAGTACTCTTACCGCAGCCAGAGAAATCAAGGCGCAATACGACTCTGCCATACGACGACTGATGGTTCAGTACCATGTCGAAACCGAGTATGAACTGTACACGGGATGGGTCATGTCGAATACCAGCATATCGAGCAACTACAAGAGACAGGAAGACCTGGGTCTCGAATTCGACGTTGTAAAGCAGCGGTTCAGAGAACAGTGCTGCAATGTTGCCGGAGGCAGCGAAGCGCCCCAGCTGGACAAGTTTGTTGCTGCCATGTATAAAGTTACTGAAGAACAGGTCAACAAGGCACGAAATCGTGGCGACGATGAACCAGTCAGTCATCAGAACGAGGCCGACCCAAGCGAGGAGCTAAAACCTAATGTGCCGTTGATTAGTTTCCCGTGGATTTTTCACTGGGTCATGATTCGGCTTGCCATGGGTGACAAGTACAAGCCAGGCGAATCTGTTCTGGCCGCAGCTCGGCGGGCTTGTCTGTTTAACCGCCATTCACACTTGAAAAGTCAGCCTAAGCCTGTCGATATTGCAGCAGCTGAGACGCTGTCTGGAGTTGACACAAATGAAGACATGGAGCATGGCGTTATTTCTGATGTGCAGAAAATTGAGGAGACTGCGGGTAGGCAGACCACTAATATGAAGGAAAATAATCCTGTCCAGTCGTCTGACGCCATCACGACCGGCGACAAAATTCTACAGCAGGATGAGGATGATTCGAATGAGGACATTTCTTACTACGCAGTGAGCGGTGAGTCGGGCGAGGCTGCTTTTTTGCGATTAGCCGCCCTGGGGTAATATCTAGATGCCAAATATCAATGCAGTGCTAGTATATCAGTGAATGCAGACAATGATTGGCCACGGGGGTATGCGTTAGATTCGGGAGGAAAATGGGTGTCGAGGAAGACGAATTTGCTTAGGAGGCGATACTGGGAGGAGTAGACTTGGTCTCGCTGCTAGGGCCACTGAGAGCTAGAGAAGACAAGCATCAATACATCCAATTCTCTTTATATTGGTTACAGAGGTTGCCGTGCATGCTGAAATTATTCGGATTTTTCGCTTGTGCAGCGCCGTAAGCCCGTCGACCAAATGCCTGCGGCAGGAGCCACCATGGTACATTCATTCCGAATCTTGGGGTCGAGCTCTCATGACGATTCTGCCAAGCTTACTTTTGCGAATTGTATGACCGAGGCGTGTTAAACTCGAGCAATAGCACCAACTTTTGGCTCGTTCAGCTTTCGGGTGTGTGGCAGTGCAGCGCATTTCTCGCCCGAGTTCGTTGAACGAGGGGGATGGTGGCGGCGATATGACATAGACTGGTTCTGCTACCTTTAATCGAAGTTTATCGACACTGCGAGCCAAAGGAATTAGATTCAAATGCTTTTTTTTTTTTTGCGCCGAAGGAGCGAAAGGAAAAAAAAACTTACTGCCCATCGCTTCTGACATGTGCTCGCCACGTTTGCAGGCCAAGCAATTGCACGTTGCAGAGTCATGCTGGCTACATGTTCGGATATGGATAATGTGGGCGCAGTGTTGCGAGTATTGAAGCTTAGTAGAGACGGTGTCGTTGTTGACGAGATTGCTGTGTCTGTGCTCATGATGGGCAAGAGCGACGGGCAATTATATAAATCAACTTGCTGAAAGTAGCAATTCGCAAGTAGTTAGTGGAGGCTGGGCGCGGCCCCACTTGACTCTGCGACTTTTGGACTGAGCTCGAAATGACTGGCCGGCATCGTTCTCCGATCCGCCCTACATGCATCTCACGGCTAAAACTGGGGCCGGCAGCAGGGAAGCAAGCGTGGGAGACCGGCCCGCATTCATCGTTTGCTGGCAAACCTTGTCACACGACGGCAGCCAATGTGAGGCTACGCCTATAACAACGCCTCCAATGGGCGACATGCAGGCTCATTACAAATCACGCAATTGAGGAGGAATCTCCCCCGCTGAGTTGTCTCGTTTCTCGCTGCTACTTTCCTTAGCCATCAATATCACATGGCACATTCACACTCAAGCTGCGAACGACAGTCACGAATGAACGGGCAAAAATGACAAACATCACTCCGTTCAAGATTGACGTCCCCGACGCCGCCATCAAGAAGCTCAAGGCCAAATTGGAACTGTCTGACCTTCCCGATGAGGTCGACTTCTCAAATGACTGGGACTACGGAGCACCCCGTGACGACATCCTCCGCCTCACCAAGTACTGGAGAGACGGCTACGACTGGCGCGCTCACGAAGGCAGACTCAACGCCGATTTGCCGCAGTTCAAGACGACTATAGACGTAGACGGCTTTGGAAGCCTCAATGTCCACTTTGTACACAAGAAGAGCCCGAGGCCAGGGAGCATTCCGCTCCTGTTCTGCCACGGATGTACGTGCGGCTCGTCGTAATTCCACGATTCCTGCAGGTTTGGCCACTAACCCTGACGCAGGGCCAGGACACTTTGCAGAAGTCGCCAAAATCCTGCCGCTTCTCACAGACGCCAACGACGGGCCGTCGTTCCACGTCGTCGCACCGTCTCTCCCGAACTTTGGCTTCTCAGGCGGCGTCAGGAAGAAGGGCTTCAGCATCCCCCAGTACGCAGAGGCTCTGCACAAGGTCATGCTGAGCCTGGGATACAACAAATACGGTACCTAGTCTCGTTTGTCCTCACTCACACACTCTGAAGCAAAACAGAATGGAGAAATCAGCCACCTAGACAATTCGCTAACCGCGCAAATGCAGTCACCCAAGGCGGAGACTGGGGCTGCATCATCACCCGCCTCATCGGCGTCCAATACCCATCATCCTGCCTCGCCTCCCACGTCAACTTTGTCCACGCGCAAAACCCTCCGGGCCTCTCCAAATCCCCCGTCCTCTACCTCCAGCACAAGCTCACACCATACACAGACGTCGAAGCCGCCTTTCTCGAGCGGACCAAGTGGTTCCAGACAGAGGGTTTCGGGTACTTCGTGGAGCAGAGCACGCGCCCGTCCACCATCGGCATAGCCCTCGCCGACCCCGTGGCGCTCCTGGCCTGGGTGTACGAGAAGCTGCACGACTGGACGGACAACTACCCCTGGACAGATGACGAGATCCTGACCTGGGTGTCCATCTACCAGTTCTCCACGGCGGGCGCGGCGGCCAGCGTCCGCATCTACTACGAGTCCAAGCACGCCGAGCTGGCGAGGGTGGAGCGGGGGTTCGGCTACGTGCCGAATGTGCCGTTGGGATTGTCGTACTTTCCAAAGGATCTGATTCTGCGGCCGAGGACGTGGGGCCGCGCGTTGGGACCGGTCGTGTTTGAGAGTGTTCAGGCCGACGGGGGCCATTTCGCAGCTCATGAGAGGCCCGAGGCGTTGGTGGCCGATTTGAAGGGCATGTTTGAGGGGGGCGCGAAGCATGTTGCCCAGCGGTTTGTGTAGGCTGACGGCTGGACGAGCCGGTATAGTTGAGAGGTTTTGATGGCTTTTGAAGTATTGACCTAGTTTAATTGCAATAATGAGATGTCATTCGCCACCTTTTTTTTTTAGCCTTCCAAAATAAAAGACATGGACAAAAATCTTCTGCAGAGAATTGCCGTGAGTTGGTACACAAAGCACTGATCAGAAACAATGAGGCTTGCAGATCCACACGGCATACCAGCATAATTGTCCGCTATAATATTGGCTTTTGACATGGAGTATATAGCTGTGTAATAGCATCTGTTTACTAAGAATCTTTCAATCTGAAAGTACCGCAGGCCCACCAACTTGAAGCAACCACCTTCATCCTCCCATATCAACGCCCATCCGAGGATTAGATTGGTTGGTCATCAGCGTCTCACTCTGTCCGAGGACGGAGGAGTGTTGCAAATCGTAGCTCCGCAACTTCTCGGGAGTGTGGTGCCCTCTTTATATGTTGGAAGGCAAGTGTTTGGGCTACGGCACTTTTGAGTCCGCTCCGCAGCGATGTGCCCGCAATTGAAATAGTCGGCGTAAGTGGTACACATCTGCAGTACTATCATCAGTACACGCAGCGCTTGCCCGTAACTGGTCTTGGAGATACACACTGTTCTGGCTGTGGAGGACTCACAGTGCTGTTGTTGAACGACGACAAGGGGAAATCTTGGTCTGATGTTGCAAAACGTGCCTGAGTGATGTTGAAGATGTCGAAGATGCCTATGGCTTGGAAGGTTCGAGACTGTGTAAGTGGCGGAAGAAAGACCAGTGAATATATAACTGGACTCTACCATGGCCGCTGCCACAGTTACTCGGACATACAACTCATGGTGGTCAGACATTGGGAGAATAAGCGTGGAATCTCTCTGTATGCTGGCGCGTCGGCCGTGTTCGCCAAGGCGGCCAGAAACCGGTCGTGACAAGGTCCTCACCAATACATTTTCAACAAACAGGTCAAATGACTCCAAGCACGCAACCTTTGTCAGACGTATGACTTTGTCCTTGCCAATAGGCGAGTTTGTTCAAAAATTGACAGTCTGTAACCGCCGTGTTCGCGGTCTGAGCTTCAGGAGGTTGGTTGGCACACCATCTCAAGATGTAACTTGATTCGCGGTTGGGATCGTATGCTTGCGTACTTCAGCGGCCAACAGCCAGGCCGCAATCTGGCAACAACGAAGGGATGCTAGGCGGATTCCCTTTCCTCCTAGAAAATTGAGAGGCCGCAAAACATTCGATGTCCTGGGCCAAGCCTGATGGCGGTCTGTTGACATTCCAAGAAACACGGAGAAGAAACCTGATTCCGCGGAAGCGCTGTCTGATGGACTCGATGGAGCCTCACGTCTGGTAGCCTGCAGGCAGGGGTCCAGACGCCAGTCCCACCTTCCAGGTTGGGATTCTGGGGCACCAAGGCACTTGTAGTTGTCGTCTTGTCGTTGGGGTAGCAGCCTTTTTCTTTTTTTCACATTTTCATCTTTTTCTTTGCTCAGGGGATCACACCCTATCGTGTAGAACTGATGGCTCTCGATTTGTACATCCTGCCTTGCCGCAAGGACCCTGTACATCATCATCACCCGCCGCCGGCCGAAAAGCCCTTGAGGATTCAAATTGAGGGTCCTCTTGTTGCCATTCAGAGACTCTTCCCCGAGGCAGAATGGCAGATTGATGTCTTCAACCAAATATTTCCGCAGCCTGCAGGACCGCTACTTGCAAATTTAACGTTCGAGAAGATTTACGGGCGGCGGGCTCGACCAGAGGAAATTGCTGGCGATCTGGTAGTTCGAGACCAGTACCTGGGTTGGGTTATGGAAGGAATACGGCCTTTGAAGTACGTGTCAATGAGAGTTTTGTTCCAAAAAAGCTCACCAGTGGATGTTCGCCCCGGATTCTCTTGCTTGCTTCTGTAAATGCTCATTATATATGGCTACTGACTACACTAACAGCGAAATTGACTATTACGGCGTTACATTTGATCACCTCGTTCCGCCTGACGATGAAAACCCAGAAGTCTTGCAGATAAATATTATCGAGATAGAGAATGATGGGGGAGTATATGCAGCTTCAACGCTGCCGTTCACGGTAGATCCAGCAGATTATATTGGAATAAAAGTCCTGGCAGTTCCCAGGTGCTGTCAAAAGAGGAAGGGTACGCAGGATCGAGGTAGGGTCAACGATGCGGTTCTCGATAGGGAATCAGAGTCCCGGTCTAGAGAGAAGGCAACAAACGGTGTTGGAGTGGATAGCGAGTCTCCAGCGGTGCATACTACTCGAGCCGTATAGCCAAGCCTTTCTCCTGGTCCGAGATGCGCTGGTGGGCTGAGACAATGCTAGAAATAGTACATATTTACTGCCGGTTCAGGAAGAAAATCATTTGACTTTGTGAGATCTATATCACTCTCTATTCAAATCAATGAAACTTGCATATTTATTTCACATTCGGCGGCATCGATGCTCTCCTGATACTCACTCCATCTTCTAGGATAGTAGGCAATCTCTTCAAAGACCCTCATATGGTCAGGTCTCAAGCAAACAACTTTGTGCATGAGATAGTGTGTCATCTACCGCTTCTCACGGAATTTGGTGGGGTTTCCCTCCAAATGAAATGTTGCTGGTTCAAATTGCAGAATATCCTGGCCATTTGAAGGGCCGGGTATGGACATTGACACAGAATCGAGTCCAAAGATTGTCGACACTCATGTACAAATTTCGGTCGAAGCATCGAGAAGCCACGGATAGTAATTCGTGTTCTATCTATATACAGTGGATAATGTCTCCAGATAAATTACCTTGTGAAGGGATGAGTATAGCTCTGCAAATTTGTGCTCCCGTTACATGGCACATCTCGACATTTTCGGCACAAGTCAGCGAAGCTAACCAACCTAGAATCTTCTCTTTAACTGATAAGACGTGACAAAAGGTTAGGGAATTGATGTTTTCAAATATGTGTCATCACAGACCTCATTCGTTACGAGTTACGCAGTACCCATATGTCATTTCTAGACGATGCAAAGATACCTACCCATGGATATGTGGGCCATATTTGACGATGCCGACAGTCTCGCCCGACGAAGGGCATATCACGGGTCCCTTTTACAGTAGAAATTATATGGACAAATGCGTACAATCCAATCAGATACAATATCCCCATCATGACTAGTACGAAAATTGTTCTTCTTAAGCCCAGTGAATTTCACTGTATTCAGCTTCAAGACCGTGCACATGTCACGTTAAGCCGTAGTGTGTCTGTAGGGTAGCAGGCAGACACCACAAATCCATGCCATGTAAGGGGCTGCGCCGGCAACCCTCGCCAGAAAGACAGAACTCTAGGCCCGAGATTTCGCTCATCCATTCCAAGACGCAGCACTACCAAGGAACACAATGCCCAAAGAACAAGAGCGTCCCAACACAAAAGCGTAAACCGATGACGTACGGAGCAGTCGCAGATCCATCACCCCGCTCTATATGGACCACCGACGCCACACGGATCTTGCACAGCGGCGGTGCTCAGCCACTACTCGATCAAAACCCGCCACCAAACAGATCCCAAGTTCACGACTCGGCATCATCGCAATCGCGGCAATCAAGCCATTCATCGAGAAGAACCAACGCCCGCGCCGACAGACGACGCTCCCCGTCAAGGACAGTACCTGCACAGATCGCAACGCCGAGGCACCAGCCATGCCGCCCAAGCAGCCTACGAACTGGCGCCTCTGGACAAAAGTCCTAGTTGGGTACCTCGCCCCCCTCCCCCCCCCCCCCCCGCCCCCCGTGAAACGGAATCATGCCGCGGACACGGCTAACACGACGACTACAGCGGTGTAGCAATCAGCGTGGGAGGACCCCTACTGACCATGAGACTCACGCCGACAGAGGAGGAGCTGCGCGCAAAGTACAACCCGGACCTGCTCAAGAAGAGCATCGAGACGAGGGAGGAGCGACAGCAAGAATTCGACGATTTCGTGACGAGGCTGAAGGAGTACTCCAAATCGGATAAACCGAGTTAGTAGTCGTCCGCACCCCTTTGGCGAGTTCATGCACATCATCTGCCAACCCCCCTTCCTTGCGGCAGGTTTGTTTTTGGGAGAGGAAAGGTGGCATCCGTATCCGTGGGAACCAAATGAGCTAACGGGTGCGTGTTTTCCCTGAATCTAGTTTGGATCGTGGTCAAGGAGGAAGAAGAGAGGCGCAAGAAGGCCGTCCTAGAAGCGGCCAAGGTGCAGCAGAAAGAGGCGGATGCTCGCCGAGAAGAAATGCGACGCGAGGCCGGCCTAGGCTCCAAGTAACAAAGTTCTGCAGACTGGGACCCCACAGAGGCCACTGCACTAGGGGATGAATGGTACGCAAAAACGTGGAAGCATAGAGGAGGCGAGACTCGTTAAGAAGCAATATTGGGTAAAAATGAATGGGGGCTTGATTTCGTGTACAACAACAAAAAGGCTGCCGGGGTTGCGGAACTTTTCATGCAGGAATACGGTTGGGATGCACAGTTCATCCATGTACAACTACTTACTTACCTTGTTATTTTCAAGTGTACGATTATCGCCAAAGGCTCTCGAGGGTATATGAGAGGTAGGAGGACCTTTTGCAAGACCGTTAGTCATGGTGCCAACGCGAACGGGTCGAGACACGTTGGGGAAATGGATTCTGGAGAACTGGAGACCTGGGGTAAACATGCGGAGGCGGTTCAGGCGGCAATCTGGACATTGACATGCCAATACGACTTCAGATCTACTCCGTACTCGAAGGGGGGTGTATTCAGTTTTCAACCAGCAAAAGAAATGTTGCCATGTTGTGCTTGTTCTGCCATTGAGAGAGAGCACATGATCAGTGACCAGGACGGCCTAACCATTCACTCATTGAGCCGAGCTCATGGAATTGACACTGTTGGCCTCTGTGGTGGCTGCTACCGAGTCCACTCATCCGTGTAACTAACATACCAAGGTAGGTATATTCGACGTGGCGTCTCACCGCCGCGGATGTCAAGTCCATCCGAGGAACTTGTGTTGTCCCCATGGATTGCCCATAGGGACATTTTGGTGAGCCAAATGATGGATTGTGTCTGGTGGCAAGAACCAACTTAGAGCACCAACGTCTGGCCCGATGGCTCAGCTGCCAGAAACTAGTTCGCAACAGCTGCCAACTTTTGAAAATCCTGTCACACAATTGGTTGTGCCTATCGGCGAAACCATGATCTTTGCCTCCTTGCCCACCCCCAATAAACGCCGTGTGCATGTTGATGTCGCATGCTTCTGCAATGGAGCAGCTGTGACCAGCCACACCAACCACCTTGCGCCTTCTCCGCATCAAGCGATAATGTTCCGCTCGTAGTCTTGGCAGCAGACAAAAAGTTCCCCAAAAAGCGTGAACTAACTGATACCGACGACAAATGGTCCTCTTGGCAAATGGTCATCGTATCTTCCAGCTGACTCCTTGCTGATGCCTCGGCGCAGTTGTGGAGCAGTTGATTTTGACAGTTCACCAATCCCCACAGATGGCTGATGGTCCAACAAGATAATCGGTCAGTTTCAGCCACCTCTTTTATCGTCTTTGTTTGTCATTCCTCGCCCTCCTTTCTGATGTCCCCATGCGAATTGACTGCCACCTGACCTCACATGATCGAGGTTGACAAGACGCGGAGTACTCCGTACGGCTGAGGCGCTTCAACGTTGATTACCATCCGTAAACAGATACGGCGCAACGTTAGCCGTCCGGCCGTGACTGCTAGTAGTGGTTGACCCCTCCCAGCCGTAAACACCTTAATTCTAAGCATGTTTGTGCATAAGCGCCAACTTGGGATTCGCCCTGTTCATGGCAATGGCGAAGCTGAGAGAACTGGTGAACTGCAGAGTTGCTCTCAACGGGTTCCGTTTTGGGGGAAAAGGAAGTTACAGGCTTGCTGCAGCCACAGGCATGCATCGCGCAATTATTGTGCAGAGTTTGTGCTTGTGTGCGTGCCCGGCAACATCCAGCCGACTTGGCAGCACTTGCTTGGCGATGCTTAGCAGTGTCCAGCATTGCCCAGAGATCCGCGGCAAGCTATGGCGCCTGATGGTCAACACCTGATGGTAGTTACTATCTGGAATCTTGAGACCGAGTATTTATAAACACTTGGCCGCGGAAAGCCTGCTCTGCCTGATTACGGCGTTGATACTTGCAAGAGTGAATGGAGCTATCGACATTTGGTAGGGAAGCATCCTGCGGACCCGAGCTTCATTCGTAATAGCTGCGGATCTAGATGGCAAGTTGCAGATAAAATTAGCAATTACTCCGGTAATATGTCTTACTCCTGCTCCCGATACTTAATCGAAATAAGCACTGAATTTGGAGTAGTGCAGGCCGCCGTTTGTGCAAGAGGGGCTGATGATGATTATCAGCTCTCCCGTCTTGAGCGTCGACCAGGGGCCATGATACGAGGGAAGATAGGACAATGTAGAATCTGCATCAGGTTAAAACACTATTGTTTGCTGCTAGATGCTGATGAAAGGACCTGCCAAGATCAACTAGAGGCATTCATGTTGGAATGAAGAAGGAGAAAGTTGATCCCCACCGGCCCCGTCACTTGTACTCCGTCCTCCGTATAATTAAAAGGGCCAGTTCAAGTTGCACGCGACAAGGCCCAAACTGCCTGTGACAGAACAAAAGTTCGTCTAGGGTCCAAGAGCTACACCCCACTGTAGCACCCCCGATATGACCTGGGGAAGCACGACGAGAGGATGGGCTTTCTAACAGCCGCTCTGACCTCTGCCTGCCGCTTCGAGGCTAGCTGGCTACGCTGGTATCAATGGTGTCCTCAGGGCCCTTTCGATTGGTGACGAAATTAGTGGGACCGGGGTAACACAACAAACAATCGTCACATCAGTGTACGATATCCGTGCATGGACGTCAGTTGGTGAATTGCAGCGACAGCCAGGTGCACGGCCCGTGGCCGTAGCTTCAGGCACATTGGTCTCTTCAGTCTGCGTGAGAGTCTCTTTTTGCATCGGTGGTGAAGAAAGCCTTTCCGAGCTCTCTCCGTTTTCCTACACTCGAGCTTGAGATGCCGGCTTCCGAGTCTTCTGGCCGCGACTGTGTTGGCTGCAGCTGTAAAGTCAGCCTCTGTATAATATAGAGCATTTCGTCTGAAAACAGCCCACAGACCATCCCATCAACCGCGACGAGGAGAGACTGAAGAAGGATGAAAAAGGTGTAATTGCATATGCTTCGCCAGGTAGCCAGTAGAGATACAATTTAACAGGGCGAATAAATGCAGTATTGCAATGCCAACGGGAGCCTCAATCTTGTTTGTCCAGTGCCCACGATAGCAAGCAGCAATTTGTTTCGTGCTATGGAGACACTGGGCATGCGATGGATGTTCGTGATTGGGCACGGTCGTTCTTCCAGCAAGGCTGGCAAAAGATCCTTCAGATAAGAAAGCACTGGGAATGGAAGCATCCACCCACACCAAATTCTCTAGCCTGACCTGATTTCCTGAATGGGCGGTCCCCCTAGGTAGGCTGCTGCGAAATACTAATCGGTACTGCTAAACCGTTTGTCGATATTGGAAAGCCTGGCGTAGTTCATACTGAGCAAGCAACCGGCTGCAATGTCCCATGATAGCAGTGCTAACAGACTAGAGCGCGCAGGCCGACTATTAGCACCAAGTAGCAGAGAAACTTTAACAGACCCCCCTAAACACGTACACGTGTCAAGAAGAATCCAAGACGCCCCAAGGCCACGAGAATAGTAGAAAGACGAGATGCCTCAGCTGCGGAATAACTACGCAGCTGTATCAGGCAGGTCGGCGTACCACATCCCAATCATAATCTTTCCATCTGCTTCGGGCTGGCGTCTCTTTGAATGAGATGGAACAGAGACCAATCTTGGGTCAGAGCTGGAGGCGCCGAGGCCGCTGTGGAAGTGGGGTGCCACATGGGCTCTATCCCGCGTTCTTTCGTGCTAGGGCGTGAAGTTGTCACGCCAGGGTCTCCGTCCCCTGCCTCTAGCATACCCCTACCTGCCCGACAAACAATTGCCACTCCCAATTCAGATGTTGGCACATGCAGAGATACCGACAACGTTCCAGACATGCAGAGGCGGGCATTGCCTCCACTTGTCTTGAGCCTATCAGGTTTGCCCGGTATTAGCTCCAACAACGGCGTCCGTCTCGGCTCTTGGCTCCTCATACCCGCAAATCCTCCCCCGTTCCGAATCCGTGTGCGATGTTGCATCGTGTCCAAGGGCAATGTACCCCTACAACGTACCGTCGTCCTGTTTCTGTTTCTGCTCTTGGTCGGCTATGAATGCTGGAAGCAAGGGTGCGGCGGTCCGTGGAGGATGAACGGTCTCGTCTTTCTGCTGGCCCTCGCTTTAGGAGGTGTCGTGCTCCCGTTTTTCTGGGATATAAGCTCCAGCACCCCTCGCTCCTTCCCTCGTTGTTCCTGCCTGGGCAGCCGTCTTCCACCTTCTTGCATTGGCATATTCGTGTCCGTCTTGCATCTAGTCTACTAGTGCAGGCATAAGAAGCGACAACCATGGGCCTCAAGGAACGCTTCGGTATCAAGTCAACTGAGACTACGGGTGAGACAACTGGCGCCGATGTCCTCCCCAACACTGGAAGCACCGAGAACGAGCTGCGCCGATTCAGACGCCAGCATCAATGGGATCCCTTCCTGGATATTGACAAACTCGACAACATTGATGATGCCCTCGCCTCTGGCAATGCCGAGAAGGAGGCTGCTATTGATGAGTCTCTGATTCAGGAGGATTCGCCTTACCCAGAGGTCCGCAACTCGGTAAGTATAAGTATATGGACTGTTCAATTGGCTCGCCTGAGCATTATGTTGCTGCCAAACAAGCCCAAATGCCATTCAACGGGCTAACAAAGCTTGACCACAGGTTCCCCCCACTGACCAAGATGTCCCTGTCGACACTCTTCGAGCTTGGACTATTGGAGCTGTTCTCTGCACCATTGTTGCTGCTTGCAACGTCCTGCTTAGCATGCGTCGTACCCCTATCTCTATCTCGTCTACCGTCGTCCAGCTTATTGCCTACCCGTGAGTCCTAATGCCACTCCATGTCAGTCCAGCCTCGCTCATGTCCTAACCACTTACCTCAGACTTGGTTGCGGCTGGGCCAAGTTCATGCCTGCCAAGACGTTTAAAATATTTGGCCGCACCATCGAGCTCAATCCCGGCCCTTTCAATACCAAGGAGCACACGATTATCACCATGATGACTGCAGCGGGTAGCTCTCTTAGCTACGCCATCGACATTCTCCTCGCACAGGAAATCTTTTACAAGCAAGAGTTCAAGTAGGGTTTAGCCCGGTTGGCGCCTCATGATTTTACTCTTGCTAACATGTCGACCATAGGTGGGGTTTCCAAATTCTTCTCATGCTTTCCACCCAGGCCATGGGCTTCGGTGTTGCTGGCATTGCTCGAAGATTCCTTATCTGGCCATCGTCAATGGTTTGGCCGGCTACGCTCATCACCTGCACAGTTATGTACTCACTTCATGACCATCGCCCGTCCGATCCCTCTGCCACTAATGGGTGGAAGGTTGGTCGATACAGTTTCTTCCTTCTTGTCGCGGGCTGCACCTTTATCTGGGAATGGTTCCCTCTGGTTATTGCTCCATTTCTCAGTTATTTCATGTGGCCTACTTGGATTGCCCCGAATAATGTTGTTGTTAACCAAATTTTTGGTGGCAATACTGGCTTCGGTCTCATGCCAATGTCTCTTGACTGGGCCACCGTCACTGCTTTCTTAAGCTCACCGCTCCAGACTCCCGCTTTTGCCATTCTCAATGTTTGTGCTGGCATTTGCCTCATGACGATAGGTGCGGCCGGCCTTGCCTTTGCTGGTCCTGAGTACTACCGATACCTCCCTATTAGCGCCAACAAAAACTTTGACAGATATGCCAAGTCCTATAACACGAGCCGTATCCTTGCTCCGGACTTCACTGTTAATGAGACCGCTTACCAGCAATACTCACCTATTCTCCTTGGCCCTACCTTTTCTCTTTCTTATGGGTTAGGCTTTGCTGCACTTATATCTACTATTATGCACATTATCCTCTTTTATGGAAGGGATGTATGGAGCCGGGCTAAAAACTCTCAACACGATGAGCCTGACGTGCATATGAAGCTTATGCGCAAGTACAAGGAAGCTCCCGAATGGTGGTTTATGTGTATTTTTGCGATCAGCTTCGCCTTTGGCATGATTGCCTGCCAAGTCTGGGAGACCCACCTACCTTGGTGGGCATATATTGTGTGTATTCTTATTGGCGCCGTTCTCTTCATTCCGATTGGCATGGTTCAGGCTATTACCAACCAGCAGACCGGCTTGAACATCATCACCGAAATGATTATTGGATACATGATGCCCGGCCGCCCCGTGGCCATGATGCTCTTCAAGAGTTACGGTTACATGCTGTCATACAACGGGCTAACCTACATTTCTGATATGAAGGTTGGCCACTATATGAAGATTCCTCCTCGCAGCATGTTTGCTGCTCAAGCTTTTGCTGTTATCTGGCTATCATTTGTCCAGATTTCTGCTTATAACTTCCTTCGGGGTAATATCAGCGAGATTTGCACTGAGACCCAGAAGCAAGGTCTGACCTGCCCTGGTGCGCGAACTTTCTATAACGCGAGTGTCATCTGGGGAGTCATTGGTCCCAAGAAGGTCTTTGGTGCTGGTGGAATGTGAGTATTTACGCTTCCAAGACTCTTTATTTATGCTAATTTACGGTGTAGATACTCTTGGACAAACTGGTTCTGGTTCATTGGTTTTATCTGTCCTGTGATCCAGTATCTGATTGCCCGGAGATATCCTCGCAGCTGGGCACGCTACGTAATCACTCCTGCTCTCTTTGGTGCTGCCGGAATGATTCCTCCTGCTACCCTCTACTTCCTCTTCCAATGGGTCATTGTTGGTCTTATCTTCAACCTTTTCATCCGCAGGGCTTTCTTTGGATGGTGGAGTCGTTACACTTATGCTTTATCTGGTGCCCTCGATATCGGCACTGCTCTCTGCACTGTCATAACCGGCCTTGGTCTTGGTCTAAGCGAGACTGAGTTCCCCGACTGGTGGGGTACCACTGTCTGGCAAAACACCTTAGATGCCCAAGGCAAAGCAGTGACAAGGAAGTTCATCCAGAATGTAACTAAACCTCTCGGCCCTGACACGTGGTAGGCGAAGGAGGAGCGACACGAAGAAAAAGATATTGAAGTCCTAGGAAGGGTATATTTATGCCTATTATCACGTATATGATGTAGATACCAAGCAGTGCTGCGCCTATTCGCAAGCTGAATATGTTGAATTCATTGGATACCGAAAGAAACGCAAACGTGAGTACAATCATGATTGTTGCCGGATGATTTATGAAGCACCCACTTTATGAGGACATAGAGTTATGGGCATGGATCTATGTTTATACGATGCGGAAATGTTGCATTACATACCTGACTGTGTGGTAGTTCTCCCAAATGAACCGAGTGAATTATCAATATGCCATGTGCTGGCGGGACCCGTGACTTGCTACGTGATGGATTTTGACGCGACATTCTCTCTCGGACTAGGAGACAGACAAGGACTAAAATCAACATAGTGATGCAGGGCTTCTAATCCGTACTGCGTATGAGGTGTTGTTGGATGGTCATGTACGGAATACTCCGTACGGAATAATGTGCTGACAATTGGCCACGGACGTCTGGGGGCTAGCTAGCCCCAGATTTCTGGCCAGCCTCCAGCCAAACCAACAACCGCGGCGTCGAGCACCAGTGGGGCCTCCTGTTCGGGCAATACATTTTCCACACGCGAAAACTCTTGGCACGCACAAAAACGACTCTTACTTTGCTCCATCACCAATCCATGCCGTCGGCGACAAATCAGCCTCTTTGACGCAACCCCTCATCTTTTTCGGTGCGTAGTGACTCCCCCAACCGATGTTGTAGCTCGGCCTTTTCATCCCGATGTCGTCCGGCTGATCCTATACTTGATTTTGGGGTCCATTGGTGATTTAGTGGGATACGTCTTGAACTGACGAGCCGACGGGCGAATATAGTTTCTCCTCCACTTCCTACATAACCCCTCAACATGGCTGACGTCCAGGAGCGCCTCAAGAAGCTTGGCCAGGCTGGCCGTATCGGTGAGTGGACTGATAGACTAGGGGATTTAATTCCTGGAGAGGGGTTAATTGGAAACTTTGCAGAGTGCTAACTGGCCTACTTAGGGTAAGTTTTCACCACCGCATATCCGACGATAGCATGATCTTACGCTAGTTAAAATTCCAATCATCGACTCACCGACGGAAAGCTAATTAACCGCTTGCTTTTCACAACGTGTAGTGGCAAAGGTACTCCCCGAAGAAAGGTCAAGCGTGCGCCCGCTCGGTCTGGCGCCGACGACAAGAAGCTCCAGCAGACCCTGAAGAAGCTGAACACTCAGCCCATCCAGGCAATTGAGGAGGTCAACATGTTCAAGTCGGATGGCAATGTCATTCACTTCTCTGCTCCCAAGGGTGCGTACATATACTTCAATCCAGGGCCGAAAACGGAGCACAAGACTCCCTGCTGACACCTCGCCTGGGCGTACAGTTCATGCCGCTGTCCCCTCCAACACCTTCGCTATCTACGGTAATGGTGAGGACAAGGAACTCACTGAGCTTGTCCCCGGCATCCTGAACCAGCTGGGCCCAGACTCTCTCGCTTCACTCCGCAAGCTCGCCGAGAGCTACCAGAACATGCAGAAGGCCGAGAAGGGTGAGGACGACGACGAGATCCCCGACCTCGTTGAGGGCGAGAATTTCGAGAGCAAGGTCGAGTAAATTCGACCTTATGCAGATTTCCTCTCCAGCACCAACATTGTTTGATGACCAACGGGAAGAAGGAGGGGGTGGGGGTTTAGTACAAGATGGAAACTGGCTAGGGTGGCGTATTCTTGCGAAATGAAGTGCTGTCAGGCTGGCCTTGGAATGAAGTACTTGGTGCTTGGTGATTTTATTTCAATTGGGTTTACTCTGGTTTGCCTTCTTCTCATCGTGGAAAGGACCCCAATCGCATATTTTCTGCCTCTTGCAGGAAATTTGTCTGCGACGTTCTGCCAATGTTCTTGTCTATTACGTGGAAAAAAAGGGAGTTGTTGCAAGAACTGTCGGGACATTAGGAGTGTGGCGGCGGATGTAAGCGACACGGGAGCGTGAAAACTGTCTTTGGCAAGTTCGGGTTCGAATAAAGACCCCAATCGCATCTAGGGAAAATGCCAAATCTTTAATGATGTAACCACTATTCTCCAATACCTGCCAGAGCTCTTTGCCGCAGGCTTGATTTGCAAGCACTGGTACAGATCGAGAAATTTGAGTCGCCCAGATTTGGGATCCAGCCAGCCAAAGCAGTTGTCCGAACGCGTTGCTTGACACGTCGTCTATCCGCTAGCAACTCTCCGCTCTTGACGTCTTGGTAGGTCTTGAAGCTCAGAAGCTGCCTTATACCACCGTAGCCATTCAAACTTTTGGATACTTCTCTGGCTGCTATCCACAGTTGTCTTCTGGACATCTTACTGGCGCCCTTGACATCGAAAGGCTTCCTCCCTTGAATAACACCACCCAATATCGTCTCTTCCACACCACTGGCAGACCACGCAGCCGCAATGTTACTTGGCGCAATTTTTTCAGACCTTTCTCTTATTTTCTTCCTCGAAAGCTCAAACTCTTCATCAGTAGTCTCGACTGTGAACGGACGGAACTGGTAGCCCCCGGGCCAAGATACATTCGTCAAATTGTTTACACGTTCCGAAAACGCTCTTTGGCAGCCTGTAGCTGAGTATTGAGACACTGGCAGCACCAGCGTGTCGATATAAGCGCTTGGAGTATCGACAAAGAGAGATGTCAATGACGAGAGGAGCGATGTGTATTGTTTGAGCGTGATTTTGTCGGAACAGGATTTGGACAAAGTTGGAGGGGCGTCGCCTCGCGCGGGCTTGCGTCGAACAACACCCAATTGGGAGAAATAGGCTCGACCTGGAAGCGATGTCGCAGTTTCATCTGATTCTGCTGTCGCGGGTGACGACGGGATATCCCAGGGCGATGCGTCGTCTTGGGCTGCCATTAACAACTCCATACTTGCATCTCCACCTGGTGAAAACAATTAGACCTCGATGTCAGATTTTACCACAAAATGAAGAGCATACAGGGTGCTTCAGAGCAGTACATGTGAAGCTTCAAACCATCTCTGATGCGGAACGGTTTGGGCTCATGGGAGCCGCAAGCTTGCAGAAGGGAAGCAGACTTTCCCTGCTGCAAAGTTTTGCACTCGTCTGTGAGAAATCGGTTGAAAGTCCTAACAGCAAGGACCTCGGCATGCCAATCATGAATCGCATTACCATCTGCTTCATCAAGTTTGGACGCCGGAAGACACTTCATGCCTGTGCTAAATAGTCAAGCTCTTTAGTGACCAAGGTTTTCAGTTGCACCCCCATATCGAAAGGCACTCACGCCAAAGCTACACAGGTCCATTTTCCATCTTGTTCGGCGACAATGCCACTCAGTGGAACCCATTCATGCAATCCATTATTCCGGACTGTAGGCTTTCGCTTTACTGGTAGCTTGTGGAACTGCGATATGACGGTTCGCGCGATGACATTCGCTCGTGAGGTCGTTGTCATTTAAGAAGCAAATAGTGGCTCATCTCATAGAGCCTGCGATCTCAAACTACAAAGAAGAAATCAAAGTTTATTATCCTCGTGAGTTCTCGGGATATATGAGTTTCATCTCACAGGGTCCCATGAAGGGACAAGGTCTTGGGACTCAACGCACCCTTGGCGGATTGGAGTCCCATTCGCCAATTGACCCAAACTAGGAAGCCAAAATCCCCACAACATACTCCAATCCAGGTCGCTTGCCAACTATACACGTGACTTATCATGTGCCGCACAGTCACCCGATTTTGGCGCCTCGTCTGCCCTAGACCGCTTAGTCATTTTGGCACACACCTCCAATTCGAGAAATTGCCCGTACCACGCCGCTTAACTTTTGTCAACCCGCCAAATCTACGGTCCTCGACACATACACCTTGTCGCTATAAACCCACAACCGCGACAAGATGCGTACCTACGACGATACCTTCTCGGGCCAGAGAATTTACCCTGGCAAGGTACGGCTTTTTTTGATCCTATTTTCCCTTTGGAGTACTCCCTGTCGTCGTGGTTGTGTTTCCGGTCGCAAATTGGTTCCTTGACGGGCGAAAATTCGTTATAATAAGAGAGGGAAGAAGCGGTACAAGATGGACATGCGATGGATACATATTGTTTGGACAAGCGGAAGCCTTTTTATTGCGGACCGAAAACCAACGTGACGGAGGGGAGGGGGTACGGTTTGGCAGATAGGTTTTGCTAACATGCTGTCTGATAGGGTAAAATCTACGTCCGTGGCGACAGCAAGGTGTTCCGATTCCAGAATGGCAAGTCGGAGTCACTGTTCCTGCAGCGAAAGAACCCTCGCCGCATCGCCTGGACTGTTCTGTACCGCCGACAGCACCGCAAGGGTATCTCTGAGGTACGATCCGACCATGTCAACCGGCATACATGTTCCGAGACAGAACCGAGATGATGTTGCTGTGCTTGGGTCTGGGGCTATCTGCAATGAAAGGGGCATCAGCACTTTGAGGACAGCAATGGAGACTCGGGTCTTCGTCTGACAGCATATATGCCAGGATTTTAGCAGCACTGTTGAACCGTCTACTAATGCCTTGTACAGGAGGTTGCCAAGAAGCGTACCCGCCGAACCGTCAAGTCCCAGCGTGCCATCGTTGGTGCCTCCCTCGACGTGATCAAGGAGCGACGCTCTATGCGACCCGAGGCCCGATCTGCCGCCCGTGCCCAGGCTATCAAGGAGAGCAAGGAGAAGAAGAACGCTGCCGCTGCTGCCAAGAAGGCTGAGAAGGCCAAGTCCGCTGCCGCCGCTGGCAAAGGCCAGACCCAGCGAAACATCAGCAAGCAGGGTGCCAAGGGTGCACCAGTCAAGGTTGCCGCCCGAACTCGCTAAGCTAAGATATTGAAATTTGTCTTGCGGGGGGGTTTTGGTGCAAAAAGCGGTATGAATTACAGAGAAACTGGAAGAGTGGTGGAGTACGTGGTTCTTGTGTCCTTTCCGGCCGGTTCTTCTACAAATTCTCGGGTGCATGGAATGCCATAGGGTGCATTGGTAGTTGAGCAAATGACATACCTGTGCAATGATTCAAAGTCAAAAAAAAAATAGCCTCTCGTTCAATGTTGCATATTTTGTGAATCCGGGTGAATTGGTATAAGGTGCAATAACAGACAGCTATTTGGCACGAGGAGCATTCTGTACGTACGCCTGCTAGTTTTATCGCGGCAGGGGACACAGCTGGTCCAGGATGAAGTCAAAACACCGTCCAATGGCGACTCTAGAACATTCCAACATGAATCGCCGTTATTGTCACGAAACGGAAGCTGAATATTCCAATGCCTTAAAATCTCATCAGTTCCTCATTTCTAATCGTTAATCTAGTCTATTATGTGTGTAGCCGCTAATACGCGGCAGTCTAGTCCCGATCTATTGTAGGTTTGAGTCCAATTTACAGGGCGGCCAAAACACCCTCAGCGCCAGTCTTCTCAATGCCATTTGTCTCCTTTTCAGCATAGATGACCTTTCCGTGGTCAATAACAATGGCGTAGCGAGAGGTGCGTTCACCGTCGTTCCAGCCAATGGACTTGCTGAAGCCGGGGTCGGAGACACAGAGGATGAAGTCGTCCTTGAGGTTGTGAGCCTTGCCCCATGCAGACATGACATAGGCGTCGTTGTAGGCAATCATGATGACCTGGTCGACACCCTTGGCCTTGAGAGCGTCGCGGTTGGCGATGTACGAGGGGAGGTGAGCAGATGAGCAGACGGGGGTGAAGGCGCCGGGGACGGAGACAAGCACGACCTTCTTCTTCTTGAATTCTAAGGGCACTAATTAGCAATCGATTCTTGATATAGATAGAGCTCATGGAGTCCGCTGCGGGAGGCATACCAGCACTGGCATCGTAAGGTCCGGGAATGCCACATGTGTTGATGTCGTCGCCAGATGGCTCGATGTAAGAGAACTTTACACCGTCGGGGAAAGAATCGCCGACCTTGAGTCCAGACATGATGACGATAATGGAACGTGGAAGGTTTTGTTTTTGACGTGTTTGAGCTGCGGTGTGTATAGAAATGAGTAGTATGGGACGAAAGCAATGAGAAGCAAGAATGGCAGCGGGTTATTATATAATTGTCTCTTGCCCCTCGGAGGGGCTGCGGTTTACGATTCAAGGGACCACAAACACGCCAACTGCCTTAAGAAAAGTATTAGCATTAGTCAGGGCAACAGGGCCCCAGACCCATAACAAAGGCAGACACACATGATTTTCGACTGCCCAAGTGGCACTTTGAACAACTCAAGCTCCAATTAGCAAGAGGGGCACGAAAATACGCAATGGTGCCCGGGAGAATTATTTGGAATTGCGTGGTGGAGGTGGAGGGGCAGCTCAACGTGAGGAACGAGCCAGGGAGGGGCGGGGTTCCTTCCCACGCAACCCACGTCACTGAGCGCCAGCTGGCGGTTGCCGGCGGGGTCCTGGATTTCTGCCGGCAGGAGCGGACTGAGCCGCCACGGATTTTCTCATAGTAGTTAATAAGAGCTCCGTATTCGCAGTAGAGGAAATTCTTAAATATGCCTCTCTCCAACTGTTATCATCAACATGCTTCACTGACATTTTATTTCTTGCCCTTTGCTGCCTGGACGAACATCTAACATCGGTGACTACGGTTGGTCCAAGATCAACATCAGTCAGTCCTGACTCCTCACTTATCAAGGAACCCGGATGGCCCCCTATCATCCCTTGTACTCACGTTACTTGTTGCAGCCAAATTGCGAAGCCCTCGGTCTGGTTTCTTCAGACACCGCGGGCTTAGGAACAGTGTCGTCTCGGGGGCGGAGACTGGGCTGGATGTTGATGGCGAACATCTTGGACACCTCGCACGGATAATTGGTTCCCGAAATCTGGTGATTTTTCCATGACGAGCCTATCCGTACCTAGGTGAGTACTGGGTCCTCCTCTGGGGCCGTCTCGGTCTACGATGATGGAGTTTGCGGAACTCGGGCGGCGAAGCTTTATTTCGTGGGTCATTGTTGCAGGATCGGCCACCAGGCGTCTTAGCATCATGTGCGAAACATGGCGCCGTTCTAGCGACTCATCGGTTAAGTGACGCATGACGTCCGCAATCCCCATTCAGGCCAGAATATTCTCAAGGAGGACGACACTTTTTCCCAGCACGACCTGTCAAGGGGATGGTTGCGGGAAGTTCTTTGACATTGAGCTGGTAATTATTTTCTCTTATCATTACTCTGGTGAACTGCGGTTTATGTCTTGCCGGCGGACGAGGCGAAAATGGTGAGTGCAGCTACTCATAACGCAACTATCCCCATATTCACTCAGGAATGGTTCTTCCGCTATGCACCAAGAATGCCTTCATCACACCACATGTGCGAATTTCACCCACATCGACCCAGCGAGAATATACTATACAGCAGGATAATTTCGCCCTTCGCTGAGTGAAGGTCATGCATTGTAGCATGTAATAGTATGCGGTGTGGTGTGCGGATGCCTTATTACGTCAGATGCTTTTGCCTCACATTCCTATGTTTATGCATACCTCCGCAGTAGACCGTCGCCCTTGGCTGGAACACAAGACTGTCAGCCATTGGATGTGAGTCGGGAAAGAATCAGCTCACTCAGAGTTACGGAGCATGCATCGGTAATATGTGGACTTCGGAGGCCGAGCCAGTTGCCGATGATGATGTATAAGCATTCATTTTCTCAACACCAGGATGTACCTATGGCACTCCCGTAGCTAGTTCGCTAGGCCATTCATCGATTCACACACGATAAGCCGCCTTGACCGTTAAACGCTATTGCGGATCATATCAAGGGACTGCGGCGCCGTTTGCTCTGTGATATACCAAGAATCTGAACACGTATACGGAGCACACTAGGTTGTCCCACGCAAGCGTTGATTTATTAATATACATTGGACTCAACAAATCAAATCCGTGACACTACGGAGTACAGTAAACAGACATGCGATGGAAACACCACCAGTATAAGATATGTAATGTCGACAGCCGCTTTCTTCGGACTCAAACCAATCTAATCGGCCTCTCAATGTATTTGCCAGAGTCGTACCAGTCAGTCTACCTTGTTCTGAAGGAACAGCTCGAACAAAATGCCAGCGTCACATCTAAGAAACAACATCCACTATGCAGCCCGAAACACGATACAGTCACAAGGAAGAGTGAAGATCACTTGACAAGGAACGCCTTAGCTTTGCGTAATTGTTCTTTTTACTCGTAAGCCTCACATGGCCGGCTATGTTCTCCAGGGTTTATCATGGGCCCCAAAAAGAAGAAATTCGTCAAATCCGAGACTCCAGTTCCACATGCCAAACAAAAGTTTTATTTTTCGATTTCCCATCGTCTCACCCCTTATCCCGTATATCATCCAAGTACACTACCTAGGGTATATGGCACCATGTAGCAAGGAACACTTAGTGGGACTGAGCGTAAGCACGGCGGCGGTCACGCTCCTCAGCAATGGTGAGCTTGACACCCTTGCCCTTGGGCAGGGAGATCCAGGGCTTATCCTGGCCAATGACGAAAACGTTGCTCTCACGGGTAGCAAAGCTGTTGTCAATGGCGTCCTTGATGTGGACAATGTTGAAGCCACCGTCGTGACGCTCACGGTGGGTGATGACACCGACACGGCCCATATTACGACCGCCAGTGACCATGGCAACGGCGCCAGTGTCGAACTTGATGAAGTCGGTGATCTTGCCGGTGGCGAGGTCAATCTTGACGGTGTCGTTGACCTTGATCAGAGGGTCAGGGTAACGGATGCTAAATTTACGCAAAAAGAGATTTACAGTTAGCCAACCTGGGGGTCTCTAAGGGAAGAACATTACAGCCGTTGAAACAAGCCATGTCTCGTCTCTTCTCAGAGCTCTTCGTTCTTTCTGGTCCACGTTTCCTAGCCCCAAATCGTACACCATCACATTATATAGCAATATAATTAATCGATATGGTAGGAAACGGGTGCGGAAATTTCGTGGAATTCGACAAAGACACGAAGAGTCCCCGAAAGAATCGACCAAAGCTTGATCCAACGACTGAATGATGTCTAACAGAACAGGGTTTGGTTCTCTCAAAGCCAAAACACTCACGTTCTCGCATCGTGCGTAACCAAGAATGGGATTCCACCACGGCCAAGCTGCACGCGCTTGACCTTGCCGAGCTTGTACTCGGCCTCCTCGGCCTGGATTCGGTGGACGGTGAAGCGGCCCTTGGTGTCGTAGACGAGGCGGAAGTTCTCGCCAGTCTTCTCGATGGTGATGACGTCCATGAAGCCAGCAGGGTAGGTCATGTCGGTGCGGACCTTGCCATCAACCTTGACCAGGCGCTGCATGAGGATGGCCTTGGTCTCGCGGTAGTTGAGGGCATACTTGAGGCGGTTGCGGATGAAGACGATCAAGGGCAAGCAGTCGCGGAGCTTGTGAGGACCGGCAGAGGGCTTGGGAGCGTAGGTGCCGGACAATTTGTCCAGCAGCCAGTGCGAGGGGGCGCTGAGGCGCTTCTGGTGCTTCTTGCTGCGGAAAGGTTAGTAAACCCAAGCTTCGGGAGAATGTTCATCTCGAATCCGCAGACAAGCAAAAATTGTCAACAATTGACCAACAATCAATTGTTGGCTTCTCGCTTCATTCTTTCGTGAGACTGTTGACTGTGTTACTTACATTCCGCGGGCCATTTTCTCGACTACCTGTTGGCGATGGGCGTGATGAGGAAAAAGTCCAAGTTGAGCCGACGAGTGCGGCGAGTGCAAATATCGGGGCCACAGCTTTCTCTTTTTTTCGCAGGCGACGCTAGTGCCAACGCGAGAGGAGGGGGCTTTGTGCCCTACAATCCCCGCAATTCTGCTACCAGAAGCGAATTTTCAAAAACAGATCGTCAATGTGCTATATCACGTGACATTTTTCGACTCCCCTTACCCTTTTTGCCTTTGTGTCTGTTCCTTAATGGTCCTTGGTTAAGCATCCAAACTTCTCCACCTTTTTTTACATCACGAGTTGCCATCCTGGGAGATGCGGCGCATGCAACGACTCCTCACAAGGGTGCTGGCGCCGGCAAGCCATTGAGATGCGCACTTCTTGGCCGAAATCCTGGTTGATCTGTTTGTCATGAGTCCAGAACATACGAAGCGGGCGTTTCATGCATACGATGCTATTAGGGGGCCGCGGAGCCGACGGATGTGACGAGCAGCAAGGAGAACGCCGACATAATGTGTCTGTTGTACGGGGGTATCGACGACGATGCCGAGGAACTGAAACAGACTTGAAGAGAAAGATGGAGGTGGCTATGGGATATCGATTTGCAGGATCCGGTAGAGGCGGCACGATCCATCATACTGGAGCAAATCTTCAGAAATGGGTTGATGACGGGATGCTGAGGTTGCACAACGTGCCCCAGACATTTCACACTGCGGCGTCATGTAATGGCGTCGTCGCCGCATGAGCATGCCGGGCTCCAACCCCATATGTAGCCTCTACCACCTCCTCGCTCGACTCCAGCTTGTTCCAATTCTACCAATTTTTCAATTGCCGCTTGAATCAACGAATGCTTCCACCGTACCATTGTTTGTTGATGGATTGAACAGCAGCCGTTGCTAAACGCCAGCCCCTTCTCCCGCCCTTGCTTAGCACGAACCCATCGTCACCTCGACACCAATGCCGCAACTTCCCAGTCTAATGGCCGCCCTCGGGTGGCTCACGGCTTCTTACATTCTGATGAAATTAATACACTTAGTTGGCATCTATGTCCTTCCCTCGCGGCTGCATCGGTTCGCCCACGTCGCCCCCAATGGCGACTCACCGTGGGCCTTGGTCACAGGCGCATCAGACGGCATAGGTGCAGCATTTGCACAAGAATTAGCCGGCCAAGGCTTCAACGTGGTGCTGCATGGCAGAAATCCCGCCAAGCTGAACTCTGTCAAGGATGATTTGCAGAAAATTCATCCCAGCAGATCTTTCAGGATCTTGGTAGCAGATGCCAGCAAAGTGGCTTGTACCAACTGCATCCCGAGTGAGCAACATCACCAAAACACCGAGGCTCTAGATTTTAAAGCTATAGGGGCTGAATTGAAGGGTCTGCATCTCACCGTCCTGATCAACAATGCCGGTGGCGCTCCAACCAATCCCATTTACAGACTGTTGATGGACTCGTCAGAGGAACGAATCACCAGAAACGTCAGCCTAAACGCCATCTTCCCACTACACATGATGCGACAGTTCCTCCCTACTCTCTGCCGCAACGGACCATCTCTGATCATCAACATCAGTTCCTTGGCGGACATTGGATTTCCATTGCTGTCAGCCTACGGGGCAAGTAAGCAGTTTCTCATGACTCTAACCCGGTCCGTAGCTCTTGAGATGCCCCTTGGCCATGGTCCAGGATTGGATCAGGTTGAATTGCTGGGGGTCAGAATTGGCAGAGTGACGGGCGTGGCGGCCTACAAAGAGGAGCCTTCGTTGTTCACGCCCAGCGCTCAAGTTATGGCACGTGCTTCTCTCAGTCGGGCTGGCTATGGACACGGATGTGTCATTGGATATTGGCCTCACGCACTGCAAACCATTGGTTTCACCATCTTGCCAAAATGGTTGGAGGGTCGGGTGTTGCAGGGTGTTATGAGGAACGAGCGAGCAGTGGAGCTGAGCAAAAAGTCAGATTGATTAACTCCATGAACCATCTCATCAATAACAACATTAAGCTTGCAATCACATACATGACGATTTAGGTATGCAAATTGACATGCATAAATCGTTGGAAGGTGCAATCCAGGAGAAGCAGATGCCACCCATCTTCCACTTCCGCCAAGTCGCACCTTTAAGAAGCCAATTAGGAACGCCACGTCGCAAGACCCGGTTTTTAACCAGGACACTTTGGCCGAGTGGTTAAGGCGATGCCCTGCGTACGTAGCAACTCACTAATATCTGAATCTAACTCAATCACTAACCTATGATAAATAGTAAGGCATTACATTCGTGTGCGCAGGTTCGAATCCTGCAGGTGTCGTATTCCTTTTTTGCTACTTGGATTTGCGATGTCTTTTGCATGCTTGGTGTAGTGACGGGGTGGTGGGTTAATAGAGTTAGATATCGAGCCCCAGTTTTCAACCAAGACACTTTGGCCGAGTGGTTAAGGCGGTGTCCTGCGTAAGTCACTCACTCAATCTCGCACGTCTGCAACTTCATAGCTAACCTTCCATAGTAAGGCATTACATTCGTGTGCGTAGGTTCGAATCCTGCAGGTGTCGATTATTTTTTCACTTGTTGAAGTGCTTCCTCTAATTCTTTCTTTTTTCTTTGGACAAGAAAACTAATTCCTGTAGCTGTCTTTTTGGATAACTTCAAGAGCTGGTGAGATTTGAAACGTCAGGTAGCCATTCAGACACTCAGGCAGCAAAGCTGTCTGCGAACGGCCCCGCGAAATTCAACACTCGTTTTCACAAGGCAAATCAAGTCGTGAACAGCTTGGATTGCAGGCTGCACTTTGAAGCATCCCGACACCTCGTCGTTCATGTCAATGACCACCATGTTCCCCCATAACGCCACAGTCGTATCCTCAATCTGACCGACACGTTCAATCTTGGGCTGACGCCTGGGGAACTCTTCGCCACTGACCTCCCAAAGAAGGTTACTTAATAGGGTGGCCTTCCACAGCCCGGCGACGTAGCCTCCGTTTACTTGCTGATCAAAATGATGGCAAGCCCGCTAATTGAAACTTGTCCTACTCAAATTTCATGTTCTATCTTGAATACAACATGACTAGGTTTTGCCAGGATGCACTGCAAGGCACTCGCCTAGTCAGGTAACCTTCTGGTTGACGGGACTACGTGATTTGAGTTTGCCATTCAGACGAGGCAGCTGAAAGGTCATCGGCGGCTTATCAAAATACTCGACAAGGGGAACTCGTCACAAGCTCGTTTACGCCTAGACTCCCAGAAAACTTGCTTCTCAGTGAAAGTAAGCAGCACGGGGAGATGACAGGCGCTCCTGTAACACCCAGGCGCGTGTGTTTAGCTTTGCGGCCTCGACATTAACTTCCCGGAGATTCTTGTCGTATACTTGACATTTTAAGATCGATCCCGTCTCCCGGCTTCCGGCATCCACTGTCTGGCAGCACATGAAACTTGATCGACCGATCGATCGATATCCCGAGGGTTAATCAAGTGTATGAAGTTGAACTGCACAAGGTCCTTGCAGTCCTCACAAAAGGGTCTTATTCACGATGTCGTCATGTGTCAGCAAAGGGTAGTTCAGCTTGAGTCCTAATATTAATCCTCGGTCAGTTATTAGTATTTTCAGCAAGCCAACTCCATGTACGAAGACTGGCAGGTGAAGCTGAACGTTGGCAAGGCCGTTTGTCTGACTAGAGAATGCATACGACCCGAATATTGCTCGCCTACCTGACCTGACCTGACCTGACCTTAATTAGGTGACGCCCTTAAGATAACCCTAATACTTAAATTGGCAACCCGCAATTTTTCAGCGCCTTGTTGCCGTTCACATCGTTGAAGATTGGGTAACATGGTGAAAGAATTAAATACCAAGGGTACCATTTCTCATTCGTGATTACTCCCGAGTCTCTAGGTGGTCCATAGATATGCCTCGTAGCAGAGTCTGGGAAGCGCCCTGACGTGAGGGAAAACAGCAAGCTCATTTGCATCTTGTGAGATGGCCACCTCTAATTTGTGCCTGAATAGCAAACTCTGCCTTGATCAATCTTGTCACAGCTCCGTGGGTTCTTATAGGATAAGAGGGCCATCCAATTCAAAGCCTCAACAGGGCGAAGCCATCTGTCGCCACTAGAGGTCCAAATACCACGATAATGACACTCCTTCCAAGACGGGTAGGGGACGTGCAATGAAATGAACGCAAGAGTAAAAAACACACCTAGGCGCCAAAAAGAAACAACAATCTGTATCCTGCAGTCTATCGACACAAAAATCGTGTCAAAATGCAAAAAAGAATCGACACCTGCAGGATTCGAACCTACGCACACGAATGTAATGCCTTACTATTTTTTAGGGTTAGCGGATGAGATAGCGTTGATTGGGTCAATCGAGATAACTTACGCAGGGCACCGCCTTAACCACTCGGCCAAAGTGTCTTGGATAGAGAAAACCCCATTAATTGGAAAATATATTGCTAATGAATTGGCGGTACCGAGTGGCTCCGTTACACCAGCATTAACCTACCAAACATAAAGTTCTCTGCAGGCCATGACTTTTAGGGGATAGTAAACTGCAAACATCGCGGAAAAATTCTGAAACGTTTTGGAGAACAGGACGGAGTTAGGAAATGTCGTGTGTCGGGGGTGCGAAGCATAGCCTGGTCCAGAACGTCTGCTATTCTCAGCTCCGCCGAGACGAGAGTGAGGTGAACAACTGTTGAACCTCAGCTTTTACCCTCCTCAAGCCTTCATGTCGTCCCACTTCTGCCTTCCCATGCTCATACCACCGCACTTTGCCATTTCATGATTTCTAGGAAATGCTTCGCATTAATAATGGCACTGCATGATGATAATAATGTTGCACAAGTTGTGGTCTTGTCGGCAGTACGAAAGCAATCTGCCGAAACTGCCACACCTGCGTTTACTGCCGCTCAGCTGAACACCTTGTTACCGAATGTCCTAAAGCTGATGCATGCCGTATATGTCATAAAAAGGGTCATTTGACAGAGCGGTGTCCCGATTCTCGTATCCTCGCACCCAGCTGTCGATCCCGATAGTCTCAGGATCAAACCCGAATGCGAGTGTATCATTCGACCAGGTGGAAGAAGAACGAATATATCCGCTGAAGCCTTTGAGCGTGTCTTTTCAATCTCCCCTTCACATTCGGAAATCTGGGAAGCATGTGCCTCGACCCCCGTTTTGGTTGGACAACTTCTTGAAGCATCCTCAGCTGACATCAAGCTAGGCCCCAAAATAGAGGACCAACCTAAGCACCTCACTCTCCCTGATATCCGAGCCGAATGCCTCCAACTTCTAGACGACATTGAGTCAAAGTGTCCACCTATGTCAGACAACCCGTTGTATGAAGCAGCCCTGAATGACTGGCACGACAAGTGGAACTACTCGGAGTATGTCATGAAGCATATAGACGACGGTATCCTTGCTCTCCAGAACCAACTAGTCACTCCCCAAGCGTTGAATGAGATTCGACGCAGGCAAGCAGAACCCTGGCTGCTGAATGTTGGCTACTTGGACTACGTCACTGATGATCGGTGCGATAACTACATCCGTCTATATAATATGTTGGCCAGTCCATCAAGTCATCAAGGAGAATTCTGGTTGACCATTGTCAGTCAATTTTGAAAGGAAGTTATAATTCTTTGCATTATTTTATGCTCTGGCCTGGAAACGGACATCGGCAAGCCAACTTTATAAGGCTCTGGTCTATACCGCATGAGGTGAAAAGGTCCCCTGGCGACAAGTCCTGTCAAACATACTTGAAACTCTATTTATTCGAGTTTTGCAGTACGACCATGGAAGTTGCCGGTCTTTGGGCTTCCAGTCCGGGAAATTCCCGTCGTTCGGCTTCGGATTGAATATACTCTCACCGCTGACACAGAGCTTTCAGTTGGATAACGAGCGTGCAAGACTACCATTTATTACGCCGCTCAGAGACTCTGCAGACCCTCAGATACGCATATGGGACAGTTTTCAAAGAGATGGACGGGAAAAGAATGCGAGAGAGTACAGATCCAGGTATACCACGCAGCCCCAGTGGAAGACTAATGACTTTTTTTCCAAAGCCTCGAGAACGCCGTCAACGACGACGAGCGCATGGCTCATATTTATCACAGCCTTCATCTTCATCCGAAAATTGGTCCCTACTTGCCGCCAGACTGGCTCCATGTCGCCGATCATCATGTTGCCACGTTCAGTCCGACTGGTCTAATGACTGCGCCCATCAGCTTCATTCTCGACTTTGCCTATGCAGTGGAAGATGACTTTCATGTGGGCTTGGGTCACGACTCGGGTTGCAGAAGACAATTACCCTGGGCACTAGAGAGGACTGGCTTTGACGCGAATAACGCCCCGGTTTGGAGGTTTGACTTTCAAAGATATGGCATGCTTGACTCAATGAGTCTGGGAGATCCGCGGCCCACTCGACACACTCTAAGAGACTTGAATCACTTAATTATCCGACAAAGCGCGTCCGAAATCATTCTTTTATGCGGTGCTCGTGCCTGCTCTGTGGCCACAGACGGAGCTAGTCGCGATATTCGGCAATCACACAGGTATCTAACACTTCGGTGTGGATATCAGCTTGAGTTTTTCGTTAGCCAAGATGACGGTCATATACCAAGCCGACTTTACATATTCTGCCCAGAAATACCAGCGAATATTCACTCGATTAGCATGAGTAAGGCACTGATGCTTAGTGAACTGTTCAAGTTTGTATCGAATACAAGGTAGGGAAGGGCACACATTGGAACCTTGAAGTTTGCTTTGTGCAAATTCCCGTACCCGCTCACCTAGACATTGTCCCTGGACACTTGTCCATCAAAGTTGAAATCGCCGAGGAGGGGCAAACACACGACGGCGTATTTGCCACACATGCACGGGCAGATGATATTGCACGACGGATTGCGTTTCGAATCAGAGGCAAAAACTCGCACGATTCCACGGTCGAATTCTACACCTGTCGTGGTGGTTATGCCACCGTAGCAAAGACAAACACCTTGGCCGACAAGGTCATCTACGGGCATGAGGCCGTAGTGATATCAAAGAAGCGCCGACGGTTCCTATTTTCTGACCCGCCAAGCAAGCACTGGGGCCCCGCGCTTTCAAATATTTGTCGGAGGTGGTTACAAGACTGCGGAAGAAGAAGGAAAACAGCTGGAAATGCAGGAACTGACTGGGTTCCGGCCGCATTCTAGGCAACGAGCTGATGCCGAGTCTGAGAAGCTAGTCGATGAAGAAGCAGTAGATTCGGGCAAAAGTCGTTGAAGCCGTGTTGCGTTGAAGACAATTCGCAATATACTGCCGGATGTGGGGAGCATCATTCAGTGCCAGAAAATACATGTACGAGGGACTCGTGTTATACGACAGCATCCAAGAAGATGGTTTTCATCATCGTCGCTGGCCGTGGCGTGCAATTAAAGGTCAAGAAATGATACTTTTTATTCTTCTCAATTACATTACCATTCGCCATGGCTAGAAGTGGCACCGTAGCCGCTTGCCCGCCCTCTAGAAAACAGCTGTGATGAAGTTTGAGTTGTCATGCTGAGTGACAAAAGCCGTGGTGGTGGCTCTGTGATGGTCTCATTCTATACACCACAACCCTCACATTCGTATACTTGAGATGCATTTCTTTGTTTTCGGCTCCCGTCCTTCTGTGGGGCTAATACATTGGAACGACAAGGATTCAAACCAGCGCACGCGAATGTTTATATCTCTTGAATTTCCCATAGCTTCTAGGTACTACAAGAAACGATGAGTTGGTTCCATGTTGCCGTGAATTGACAATTTTGACGGAAAGAGGTACAAGCTACCCCGCACCTTTGTTCACCTGGACTGTCCCACGCGTTTTGCCAAATGACGGCTCGTGGACCTGGGCATTTGTCCCGTGAGACTTGCGCTAACGTGGCTCTAGACTTGGTGATCTGGTTCGGGAAGCTATCCGAGAAGGCGACAGCGGACCGGCATCGCCTCCCGGAAGCTCCCATCAATAACGTCGTCAATCATGGGGGTGGGGGTGGGGGTGGCGAGATGCCGTTTTATCTCCGAGTCTCGTTATTTGAACCATGACAACGTCTCTCAGTCATGAATGGCGGCTACACCCGATCCACATGCACATGGCTAAACAACTTGGTGCAGCCACCGTGAAAATGTCCGAGCCAACCGCGTATCATCAAATCAGGCCAACAAGACTTGTTCCCAACTCTCCCAAAGCGCTTCTGCACTACAAGGGCTATTTCGACAAGGATGGGAAACCTGATGCAGCCACTATGACACTTGCCGGGGCAATGGATGGGATGTGCAATGGATAACAAGATACGGCAGGTTCCCGAGACCCACGAAGCCATGCCCGTTCCAAGGGGTATGCATTCTCAAGGGAGAGTGTAGATGACCAATAAAAATTATTTATATAAATTTTAAGTAATAAATAATTTATGTAAATCTTAAAAAAAATTTTAAGTACAAGTATATTATTAAGCTTAATAATTAATAATAAAATATATGAGTTTTAGTGTAAAATGGGGCTTTGCTCGGAATTACCTACGACCCACTGTACAGTACAGCATATGAGGAGGGGGCCCTACAGATGGAAGCAAATGTCGGGACGTCTTGTCATGCCCGCTGGTGTAGCGCAAAGGTCTTTCGATGCCAAAACCCCGCAACCAGACGCTCAATGTCTGGCTGAAGGCTGGCTACCACGCCATTGACGGCGAGGTCCCCAGAGAGACTGTTCGCTGCGTGCCGCTTTCGGGCTTCACCATGATGGGGAGCGTACCCTCGCGCATGCTCATGGAGTTGGGCAGAGCGAGGGGACCACCTGGCTCAGTTTGAGGCCGTATGGAATGTGCCTCTGCCGAAGCTTGCCCCAGTGGTGGGTGATGAGGGCGGTTCAGGTGCACACTGGAGATACGGAGCTCTTGTAATCTCGTGAAGCTCAAGTCCCGTGAGAGACGTGGCTGAGTTAAAATGGCGCCTCGGGAACGTCGTTACTGTAGCCAATACGGCGGCTTTCCCCAACCTGCCCAATCCACAAATAGTTTCCAGCCACCTCTACGCAATCCCTAAATTCATCTTCACATGCCAAACCATTTCAGATCCAAGGGACTTGTCGAGTCATGGACTTCTTGATCAAGGACCTGCTCCACCGGACCGTGGTCTCCCCTTACCCCCCTTGGCAGTGCTGCCGAATCGAGGCAGCCGGCTATTTGGCATGTGACATTCCGTCATTGACTTCTTATGGGGTGCTTCTCGATTGGCACGAGAAGACTACCCAATCAATTGTGACTGGGCTAGCACATGCTTTGGAGGTGGAGCGCTCGTACTCATTATCATTTTGCACTTGGTTTTTCAACAATATGTCTACTATAGTACGGGATCAGTCTGGAGCAGTGTTGCTCAGACGCAATCGCATTGAGATTGCCCCATTGTTTCTTTCCGAAGGATCCTGTAATCTCCCAAAAATCCAAACGCCGAGGTATCTTTCTTCGTATTAGACAGCGGGTACCGGGCAAAAAAAAAAAAGAAAAGCCACACCATCATACGATGCTACGCTCACTTTCAATGCTTCCACCCCCCGACTCTATTTTGACAGATGACTTTATCCCCAACTCCGTCCCAAATCCCAAAAATCGTAACAATTCGTAGAAATACAATGCCATTTGGTCCAATAGCAAAGTCCCTGATTGTCAACCTTGTGATTGATATGACGCCAAAACACAAAATGCTAGCCGGCTCAGCACCGGATGGAGTAGTTGCCATGCCTGTCACGGCGCGGCTCTGTGATGTATGCTGGAGGTGACGAAGAACCGGGAGAATAATCTGCGCCGTGCCGCACAGGTGCCTGAGTCATCTTGGAGTCGTCGAGCAACAGCCTTGAAATGTCCATCTCACCACCCATGAAGTGAGGTCCACTGGACTCACCAAAATCAAAGGTTTGCGGCGGTTGAGTATAGTTGGACGTGTCAACCACGTGCAACGGCCATGTTGGTAAATCCTCCTTGGCGTTGTTGTGGCCGGACCGAGCAACTTTGGGTGACCCCCCGGATCGTTTTAGCGAGCTGTCGATGGACATGGTAACGGATGGCTCAAGAACATTGCTGCTCCGAGCGGCGTCTTTGGAGTGAAACGTGCCCTTTTCAATGCGCTGATAGATGCTAGGATACTTGTTGCGAACCCGGTCTCTCAAATCCGTAGGCTGTCTGCTAGACAGGTTGAAGCGAGCATCACGCTGGATTTTGGTCCAGGCAGGGCCATATGTATCCAGCCCCTCGAGTATCTCACGATCATCCTGCTCGGTAAACGGACGCCGTTCACGTCTGTGTGACTTCTTGAACGGCCCATGAATGCCCAGTTCGGCCAAGTCCTCGAGCTTCTTGCGGTGGGCACGGCTCTTCCTAGGCTTTGCAGTTGAGTCGGACTCGCCAGCCTCTTTCGGCGAAGGCGAGTCCTCAATAAGAATGTTCTCGGAATGAATACCCGACTTGGTTCGGCGCCCAATATCTTGAGGCGCTGCACGTGGTGAGCCGGCCTGCGAGGAGGACTTGCTTGAACCGCGCAGCTCCTCCGGACAGCATGTCCTGAATCTGTCCTTCAGGTCACCGGCAGTTCGGTCGTTGAATGTGAAGTCTGCGTCCTCGAGGATGCTGGTCCATTTGCCAACCCCATGGCGATTCACACCCAAGAGCAGGTGCTTCGTCTCCTCCTCGGACCACTTTCTGCGAGGCTTGGCAGCCCGCTTTCTGCTCTTGCCCGACTTCTCAGCCTCCGGAGACCGCCTGGCGCGGTCCTCGACGGCTCCATGTGCAGCGTATTCATTGAGAAGTCTTATCTGGCCAGCATCGTTCTCATCGTATGCATTTGATACAATCGGCGGAAACAGAGCCGGGTGACTTGGAGGTTCGAGTAGCCCGTTGATGATGGGCGGCACGGCAGGGGCCTGCTGCGCCGACTTCTGTCGCTTCATCGGCTGGGGCAGCTGAACGAAGTCATCCTTGATATGGATATTTCGCCCGCGCTTCTTGTTATAGGCATCATCGGAGCCGTCACTCAAGTCGTTGATGGCTTTGGGGCGGCCACGGGGCGACGGCTCCGCGGCTTCGTGGTCTCCAAGGAACAGGCGCAGTGGATATGCCGAGGCACCGCTTGGCCGGTCAGGCCGGTAAGCCGCGTCAAGCTCGAGCGGAGGCAGAGGTCGCTCTGTGGAAGGCGGCAGAGGCAAAGCGTGCAGCGGAGGGAGGTCAGCATGGTGAAGCTGAGGTGTAGATGTTGACTCGTTTAACAAGTGAATCAGGCGAGGTTCGATGGTGGCCATCTTGGGCGGTATGTGCCTTCTGGCTTATATTGCATTGGGCAACAGAGGTCATAGATGGGACGGGCCAAATGTCAAGCGGCGACAAGACGGAGGGACGAGGGGAGGGGGGGGACAAGATATATATCAAAGAAAGCTGGAAAGGGTCTGTCCTCGGGACGCAATTTGTATACTTTGTGAAGGTGAGCAAATGCCGTGCCAAGCGGCTCGGTGGTGTCACCTATTGTGGCATGCAGCTCTGCTTTGTCACAAGCACGTGAAGCGGACCATCACATGGGACGATGGCCAGATGCCAGATGCCAGCGACAGCCCCAGCGACGGACAGCGGCGCGGAGGGTTTAATGCTGGCAAAGTGGAGAAAGGCAGGCCACTGGGAAGGGCTGGAGCAGACTGGAGCCAGTGTGTTCGGCAGCCGGCGCCAGGCAAGCGCCGGTGTTGCCAGTGCACGTGTTGATCAGCTTTCAGTTGGGCCAGGGGCGCCGTGCAGGTGTCAGCCAGGGCAGCTGGGCGCTGGAATGCCGCCTAGAGCCCTGTCAAAGGCTCTAGTCAGCGTCGAGCCTACGCGCCAGACTCATCAACGATGCACTCATGGGGAGCTGGAGATGAGGCAGGTGCCTGCATGTGGGCCTCAGCAGCGGGGCTTCGGCTGAACAAGCGACATCGTTGATCTCGACAGCAGCTGCTGCATCTTGAGTCTTGACTGTCGACCTCGAGTCAAACATCCCGGGTTCGCCCCCAACGATGCCCATTCATTAGAATGTATACTAACTACTACAGAATGGCCCGTGGCCCCAGATGGGACGCTTCACCCAGGGACCAGCGGCGCCTTGCGCATCGGTGTTATCCGTCAATATATTGTATGTGTTGCGTGCATCCGTCTCCGCGATCCCGACACTTGACAAGCAGAACCAGCAGCGCCAGACCAATATTGCTACTAACTTATTCCCCAGTTGTGCTGATGGTACTTCGCGCTTCGATCAATTCCGTGCCAGTGACCACTCTCGGGCATTTAATCCAGATCAGACCAGCGGCACAAGTGCCAGCCATATCTGACAGATGAGCCAATGGCCTCGAGCACCACCAACACCCGTTGTAGATCCATTGATGCAGGTGGCCTGGGAGAGTCTGGGGGCGAGCACCACCCAGCATTGCCAACGTCCCAACCCCATCAACGCATCAACGCCTCGAAACTCACCATGGGCATCCACTTCCGACCACATGTAACGCTGAGCCAACGGTGAAGAACCGTCGTTCGATGCCCAACCCTATCAAGGGGCCAGGAGTCAGTGTGTTCATGCCTACCGTAGCTTCGGTCAGCCTCTCTGCTTTTGGCTACGTATCCCGCCGCCGAGGCTAGGATTCTTTGACTGCGGGCCACGGAGCAAAGCACTCGTGTTGGAGACTTGGACTTGACGCTCGTACGACTGCTCAAGTTGCGACGTGCCACTCAACTACTTTGTCGAGAAGGGCCTCTTTGCCTCTTACCTCCCCCTCTCCCCCCGTTCATGACAACAAGAACGTTTTTTCGCAAGGCGCTGTCAGATACTGAGTGCCTTGTTTCTTTTTATTGCCTAGCAGCATGGCTTCGTGTCTGCCGACCATCCCTCGGGTAACATTCACCGTTATCGAACCCATCTCGCTGTGAGTACCGTGGCCCCTGGAGGCGTCGTAAATTATCGAAATCTCCGGCTCCGACCCCAAGACAAGACGCACCCACAATCCAGACCCGCAGTGTGTTGCCCCGTCTGGTGCCTTTGTCCCTTTCCCGCGGCTTGCAGCAGAGTATAGCAAAAGGAGCAGGTCGAGTAAACAAGGCACAATGCGCAACACCTGATAAAAAAGGCCAAGATAGCTAATTGACCGGGACACAGCGTAGCGGGCTTCCTCGGTGCTGTCAGCGACCCCGCTTGGTTCGTGGCCGAACAGGTCCCTCAGAAGCTGGTTCCTGCTGCCGCTGTCGCCGAGAACAGCATCGTCCTGGCATGGCAGCTCGGCAATCTGTACCTGCTCATGGCCCTGGTCGGCCTCTTTGTCCTCAATTCAACGTCTGAGGTCAAGGTTGTACGAGGCTACCTTTGGGCGCTTTGGCTGGGAGATATCGGACACGTGGCTTTCAGTTGCTACGGTCTAGGAAAAGAACGGATGATGAATCCCTCGGCATGGAACGCCATGGCTTGGGGCAACATCGTTTTCACCGTAAGTATATCCCTTCAAAAACTCACCTAAAAATATATCCTTCATCTTGTACATGTACTATACACATGTAAATCGAAGATACCAAACTCTGCCGCCCTTCATTCTTCATGAGTGTCATCACACCTCATTCAGTCTCTGACTAAACAACCGTCTCTCTGACCCCCGCAGGCCTGGTTGTTTTCGATGCGCTCTGCCTATTTTCTCGGCATCTTTGGTCGAGATAAGCTAGCCGTATCCACCCACAGGAAGTCCACTTAATGGTCCAGCAAGTCAAACTCTGAAGTTGACAGCCGAGCACACGGCTGTTCTAACAGGCATGGAACAAGGCATTGAATTAGGAAGAGAAATTTTGCTTGTGCTCGAGCCCTCGGCCGATTCTACGAGTGGAGGGTGAGAGGATGAGGGCCCTCTGGTGACGACATGGCTCGGTTCCTGAACATTCCGAATGATGCATGGTGTCGTGTAAGTTTGAAAAGAAATGAGAGCGAAGTGGTGTGAGCCGTGTGGCATATGCGGTCATTGTCAGAAAGCCTCTTGGAAAGATGGGCAGATGGATTATAGAACGGGGACCGTGATAATATTGTCACATGTTGCTCAATGACCGTTACTGAATAAGCAAGCAAAACGCAACGACTGGTGTAATTCGTGTCAAATACTCCGTGAACAAGGCCTGATAGAATGCTGTTCTGTGTTTAACTACCAGTAAGGTTCATCATATCATCCATGCTTGCTTGACAGCCATTGTGGCACTCGACAGTATCCGACATAATATTAATGAAGGACTTCCTCGCTCTAATCTTTGAGTATTTGCACGTGTCAGACGCTAGTATTAGATGCTAGGCCAACTTACCTTATCCTCCATTCTAGGCTGAGGTGGATACCGAGGGCGATGTGGCTATGGCGTCCTCCGTACGCCGTACTCCGGGCGTCCATTCAGTCCGTTTTCGTGTGCATCGTGCGTGTGCGCCACTTAATAATACACCATCTCACGCCACGGGCCAATCGCAGGCTGCTGGGCAAGGTGAGCCAATTGCCAAGACCGTAAGCCAGGTCATCCAATCATATCATACTATGTGGGTCGGGTTCTGCAACTGTCACGAAAGAAAAAAAACATCCTCTCGCAATATTAGGGTAGGGGTTAGGTTCACGATATCCCGGGTTAGGGTTCCCATCTCTCAACTATCTCGCACATTCAGGTGCAAAAATATCAGGCCTTAGGCGACTCATTCGGTCGAGGTGTACTGAGACAGCTTCGATCATCCGAGGAGTGTCCATAACCAGCAGCAACAGGGACATAAGCTCCGCCGCCTCCGTTCAGTGGCACCGCAGACTTCATGCACAATCTTCTGTGATGCTCTTGGCTGTCGTCGTCACATCACTTTGTATCACGTTAAGTCATAACTTTGCTTGCTTTCGTTTCTTGGAGAGCAGTACGATAACGCGACTGGAACTATGGCAACGCGCACAAGAGGGCGGAGACGAAACAATCCTCTTCCTGAGATTGTGGGATCCCCTGAACAACAAATGACACCGCGAACTACGCGACGAACTATTGCCACTGTCAAGGACACCATTGCAGTCGTGGGGTATGGTTCTCTTTCTAAAGATCCTATTCCTCGCCGCGGCGCCCATCAACCAAATGATGCAGCTAGTATTGCCAGCTTAAGTTCGAGGCGTAAGACGCGTAGCGAGATTGCCGAGGATGAGGATGAGGATGAAGAATTCGAAAGCTCCCAGCCTCAACCGGAGGGCGACTCGTTGCAGGAAGATTCCCTCAGCGTGGACGATGTGGAACAATATCAAATCATGGCATCTCTCTTACCCGATTTCACGAGCGCTACAGAGGAGCTTCAGCATCGTCTGGTCAACGGTGACTACAAGAACAAAGTGTTTGCTGCAATTCTTAATTCGAAGCGCATCACATTTCATTCTCTCCTGGAGAACTACCTGAAATCCAAAAACGAGTCTTCATTTATCGATCTTCCTTGGGTAGAAGAGCTCAGCGAAGGTGCAGAGGGCGATGGCAGAGTCCTCGATGCGTCCTCACGCGCCAACATCGTCACCGCCCTCGATGGTATTCAGCGCATGAAGGACAACACCATCTCCGACATTCTTCCTTTCCTGAAAGACCTCGACTCTGCTTTTATGCATCTTTTCAACTCCGAGGATAGCACTGAAGATGACTGGAAGCTAGCATTGGACCTCCGTACATGCTATTTCATTGAGGCGCTGGCAGCCCAAGGGGCACAACCTGATGTGATGCAGACAGTTGCATCTGTGTTTTGCAAAGACACAAACAGCAAAGATTATGCCCACCTCTTTGTCCACGGACCGTTCAAAAATCTGACAAGAAAACATGACACGGAAACTAGCGATGACGAGGATGAACTAATATCAAAGCGAGCAACTGAACTATACACAATCGCCGTCCAGAATAAGAAAGATCATGGTCTGGGGCGGTTGCGCGAATCTTGGCCCCTAGATCGAACACTGAAGGAGCTGTCACAATGCCTTGTCCAATGGTATGTCAACTCGAAGGACGCCGCAAGGGGTGAAAAAGCAGAGCTCAACGAGCAAACCGAACCGGGAAGAGAATCATGGCATGATGCTGAAGAGACTATTCCCGACTCTTTTACAGAATCGCAGCCAATTATCCGCCCTACGGGAGAAGAACAGAAGTACGTTTACGCATCCCATCTCCTTTTATTGTTTCCATCCAAAGATTTTTTTTTTAACATTCACTATTCAGAAGAGCTTCTTTGTTCCAGGGAGCAAAGTCCCTCAGAGATCTCCCATCCGGATCAAATCGCAAGCAGGCAGTCCCTCCCTCTAACCAACAGCAACACAATAAGACATCATCTCCCGTGCCATCAGACTATCCGCAAGATGAGACGAGAGACCTTCTACGCAACGACGTGATCCGAGGCCCACGTCGAGCTCAAAAACGAAGGCGCAACAACGATGAAGGTGAGGACGACGACGACGACGAGGAGTTTGAAGACGACACACGTGGAGTCCCTGAATCCCGAGTCTCGCGTATCAAGGCCCGAGCCGCCGCGCAAGCAGCCAAACGCCAGAGTCTTCCCACCAACCCGCCTTCGCGATCCATGCCTCCACCCCCTCGGCCAACCTCATCGCTGCCACCCTCTACAGACGAACCAGACTACGAGACCATCAAGCAACTCAAGAGCGAAGCCATTGCCCGCGCCCGCGCCCGCGCCCTGGACTCAGCGCAGCACCTACCGTCCTCGGCCCCTCCACCACCATCGTCATCAACGACCAACACCACCACCACACACGCCATTGAGACACCCCCCAAACAGCGCTACGCATGGAGCAACAGAGACTGCAACTTGCTCCTCAAGCTCATCAAGGAGCGGCACGCCGCGTGGGCCGCCATCGAACGGGAGCACAATCATGAATTCGAGCACCCCCGTAACCAGCAGGCGTACCGAGACAAGGCACGCAACATGAAGGTAGATCTCTTAATCACGGACGCCATCCTGCCGTCCGGCTTTGATCTAGTCACGCTCGGCAAGAAGGAGATAGCAAGGTTACTAAGTCTAGGCAAGAATCCCTATAGAAGGGAGGATGATAAGGAAAACGGAAAGGCCCTCAACACAAATATTTAAGACTGTCGGGAGATGTTGGTTGTTGTTCTTTTCGTGTGGGTTCGACGTGCGTATTAGCTTTATTTGTATAATTTTTTAAATGCCGGATATTATATCTTGTGGGAGACAAGGGTTGGAAGAGTCTGAAGGATCCGTATCTCATTACTGTCAGTATACTTGTGTAGTCATGACGCGGTTCTCATTATATGCAGTTTTCTGTGTGCAGGATATCGTCATGTATGATGGTGAGCAGCCCGTAACGGTGGCTTGCTCAGCTTTCAAGGCGGGCGGTTGAAGTGAAATACGGAGCGCATTCTCCTAGATGCCACAGGCCGACTATGGCATCCGCAACTGCACCATCCTCAGCTAAATCACCACCTTGATACGAAACAAAAGCAGCTAGCAAATGTCTTTAAACGACTATACATAGACTATAGCACTATCCCTACCCAAAGGCCAAGTCCTGCCCGCCGCTCACATCCCCAATTCACACGTCAAATCATCATGTGCAAAAACTGTCAAATTGATCAAAAAGCCACTACTCTACAGGCAAGCCTGGTCAATTCCACCCAATTCACATGGCCGGGTCATTTCGCATCTCCCACCTCCCTGCTCTCCTGTCGTTGAGGTACGAGAAACGCGCCCTGGGGATTATACTCCTCACTCCCGTTCAGACAACTCGTTCGTCCGGTTGGCAATTCGCCAAACCCACGGCATCGAGCCCAGAGAGCCAGCCTCCATCCATCCCATGACACTTTCTGTTCGCCCCAAACCCCTATTTCACACCGGAATTCTTGGCGAAACCCCCAATCATTCTTTTGTCAGAAAGCAAAATACTAACAAAGAGAAAAGGAAAAAAAATAATGAAAGTTGACACACGTAGTCGATAATAGTACCGTACCAAATCTGTTGACTGAGGGGAAAATAAGAGTAAAAATGTTATAAAGGGAAAAAAAAAAAGTCCTTGTATTGGTTAGGAGAGACATGACAGTTGTTTCCCGACCCTGCGTCCTGCGGGAAAAGTACCACATGGCAATCAGGAATCATGAAAACCTGCATATTGACTATAGACGGGCATATCTAGACTTTAAGGTCGCCTAATGTTGCTCACAGAGATAGCGCAGGGCGCGTCGGACAGTCAAACCTTCATCATCCTCCGGAAAAACTGCACTCGGCGCACACGGATTGGTGACAGTCGGTAAGTAGGATGTCTTCTCGCTAGAATGTCTGCGTAGGTGGGAATAAACATGCTTGAAGGAAAAGGCAGAGGTATGTCGCAAGCTGCGTGTAAACAAAGAAATAGTCGAGGAGACTTGCTCCAGCAGATAATGCAAAAAAACAAAACCAATACTGAGAGACATTTCATGAGCGCCAGCAATGGGCAAAGCTCGTAAAGTCGCGGGGTATGATAATATCCGTAATGGTAGCTAATACAAGCCAAGCACGAAGCGCCGTCCTCGTCGAATTTGGATTGGATTAGACTTCTTTTTCTTCTTCCTTTTTTTAGCTCCCGTTTTCTGCGCCGCTTGGTGGCATCAGGTTTTCATGACAGTGAGCGATTGCATCATCTATCGATGACGATAGGGCAGGTCTCGCAGCTTCAGGCGATTCGTTCTCCATCCTTCATACCATTGCTCTCGGCTGGCCTCACGCAACTCGCCTCGCCACTCTGAGAAGACTGCCTCCTTCAAACGCGTGAAGTCGCAATGCTGCTCATTGTAAGGATCAGCAAATCCCCAAGGGAACTGGCGGCCGATCACAGCAGGCTCGTACAAATCGGGGCTAATGATGGAGAGGGGCAGGAACGGGATCTCATCTTCCTTTGACTCCTCTTGAGCTTTGTGGCGACGGATGGACTGGCTTGACAATCGCTTGGAGTTTGGAGAACTCGCTACAGAAGAGTTTGCATCTTTTGGCTCGCTTATATCCGAAACAGCAGCATCTTCTTCCTCCTCGTCAATCCTGTCGCTGTCCTCGTCCAGTCCGAGCGCCTCAAGCGGGTCCAGGTCAGCTTTCTTGATGCTGTCCCAAACGGATTTCTTTAGCACATTCATATGCTTGGTAGTGATGGTGTCTGCTTTCGCAATAACTGGAATCACAGTGGTTTTGCGGTGGAGACTGCGCAAAATTTGGAGATCGAGGTCGTCGTCAAGAGCGCCGGACGCCCGAGCGCGTGAATCATTGCCTTGGTAACCAGTTGCCCTGTTTCGGGAGGCCGCAATATTACGATCGAGACGGAACGGATCCAAAATCAAGAAGACGGCGTGAATGTGGCTGTCCTGAACACCGGGTGATCGCACAACCTTCATCTCCTCTGCAAAAGTCTCCTCGAACCTGCTCTCGAGAAAAGCGCTCAGCTCCCTCAATTGCAGATCCACCAAGTTCTTTTCAATGCCTTCCGAATCCCACAAAGTCAACCCAATCCGCTCGTTATCAATCTCGGTTTCCATGAAGTGGGGAACAAAATTTCCCGACGCCGGAGCTGGAATATTGAAGTCATCGTCATCAGTCTTCTTAGGTCGCTTTCTAGGCGGAAGAGCGAGTGCGGTCTTGAGAAATTCGAGAAAGGAGGTCTTGCCGGCGCCGGTAGTTCCAATAACTAGGATACTATATTCCTAACAGTTAGAAACAATGAAGAAAGTTGAGACAAAGAAACAGGCTAGTGTCACAAGTTGCCAAAAGGAACGACGAGTGACTTAGACACAGCGCCAGGAATGGAGGGGCAGCTCACTTGAATGGAGTCGGATCCTTCCTTCTTCGAACCCTCCTAGGGCTGTTGATGGAGCTAATAGCACTGCTGGCATAGCTGTACCGTCCACGGTGAGTCATGCTCTCAGTCCGAGCATAAGGGTCGAAGGTGTTGTTCGGAATCGGTGGCACTGGCGGAGCAGGGCTTGATATGTAATTGCGAGGTTCATTGGAGGCGCGCACATAATAACCACCTGAACTCGAATTGGAAAGACTGTAAGCTAACTCAGACGGTTGCAACTCCCGTGGAAACGTCTTGGACAATTGCTCGGTATTGTTGGCGAATTCGGGCAGCTTTGGAGGAACTCGCGCAGCCGCTTGACGCTGGCGCTCCAGCTCAGCCTCTTTAAGGGCTTGGGCCTTCTTGCTGCCTTTGCCAAGATCACCACTCTTGCTCCGTCGAAGCAACATTCCGAAACTGGGACGACGCTGTCGTAATTCGTTCATGACAAGAGTAAGTCGGGGAGGCGTGAGTAGGAGACGTTGAAAACAGTGTGATGGCTTTCATCAATGACAGCCTGGGCCACGGATCCACGCGCGGTCCGCGCAGCCAGGAGGGGAACGAAATAGAACGATGCAACCAAGCAGGGGTCAAACGGATATGTGGAATGATTTGATGATGATGCGCCGCCAAAGAAGAAGGGGGGTGTTGTGTTCCGCCCAGGTTCTAATAACAAGTCAAGGGGCACACACAGGTAGGCACCTAGCCGATAGCTTGTGGTCGATGGCGGTTGGCTGACGGGAAGCTGAGAGAGAGATGATTTGTTGGTGTTGAGCAGGAGTGCGTAAGTGGGCATTCCATGCAAGAAGAGACTGAGGGCAACCTGAACTGAGCTGGACACGAGCCCAAGACTGGCCTCTGTCAGGTCAAAAATTGCACCGAGGCGTAATACTAATGAATCGCGAGCACTTGAGCAGAGGGGCTCGGAGCCTTGAGCCTTGAGCCTTGTGGAGATTAGGGGATCGCTTCTCCAGACATACAAACGACCCTGACTGATGCTTGACGGTTTAAGCGGCCGGCCGGCGGTGGGTTGGTTCCATGGACAGCTGCCACGAAGTGTCAAGCGGCAAATTTATTAAGTAGGAGGATCGGCCACTGAAAGACTGTCAGAACTGAGAGAGAAGGGCTCAAATGCGACCCATGAAAATGGTATACCAGGTGGCGACGCAGCACGGGAGACAGGCTTGAGGAGTCCAAGAGTTGAGAAGAAGCCCTTCTTTGCGAGCACCTGGGAATACACACACAAGCAACCTAGGCCATCCGTCATCCACAAAGCATCCAGGCTACCGGGACCCAGGCCCCAAGACCAAGCTAGATTGGAGAGCATGATGATCGATATGCTAGCAACATTGCTCTCCACAGGCCTCCAAGCTCCCAGTGCCATGCTGGTTCAGATGGCCCCTTGTCGGGACTCACCCATCATCCACCCGGCCAATTAGCAGGCTTACGCCTCGTCCACTCAGGAACCGTATGAGGCTGTTGGCCCAATGTCGAATGGAGGGTATGGAAATAGGGGAAGAGGTCCAGCCAGACGTGCAGACGTTTCCTCCATGGCCATACATGAGCTTCCAATGTACGTTCGAAGTGGGCATCCGAAAGAGCCAAGGTTTCGGTAGCGGCGGAGACTTGGGGGCAACGGGGACGCAAAGTTCGACGCTAGAAGCAGCTAGTTTGGCCTTGGTGCGTGGAATTGGTAGGCTGAAGATGGTGAAGGCGGTTGAATCAATGATATCAATGCTAAGCCTGTGTGTTGTCTGGTGGTCGCGAAAGCAGGGGATCGCCAGGGGTCCCAGCTACTAGTAGATTGGACGACAAGCGCGAGCGACCGCCTGAAAACAGGCAAAAGGAGCCGGTAGCTCCCTGTTCCGCCACCAGACATTTCGCATTTCGGGCCAGTGTAAGCTCACGTAGCAAGCGGCGATAAGAAACTGTTTGTCCTGTACGGAGTAATTCTTACATTAATTTCCCATCTCCAGCCCACGAGTTGGTCCCATTTCCATATTCACCGGTGCGAGTGCGCCTTCCTCTTTCGCAACGACACTCGCGACAACTGACAGCGTTGGTACTGGGCACACCCGTTCCTTCCTTCTCGTGCCTTCAATAGTATTAATGAGCCTGACTAGCAAGGGACTCGGTGCACAACACCTGGTCACTTGGTGTTACAAGGAGTTCGCAGTACATGGTCTCCCACTTGACTTCAAAATGTTGCCCCGCACAGTCAAGGTTCACTCTTCAATCGGCCATTTTCCTTCTTGTCCCGCGCCATCTCAGCTTTTGCGAGGCGCTTGGTTGTTCGACTGTTACCGTGAACCAATGTAGAACATATCAGAGACATATGCGTTGCCAATTACAGCATGATTACCTACTTGTTTTCTGTGGCAGGCCAAAGCGGCCACTTCGGCATGCCTGACCAGCTATTACGCTAATGAGTCGACGATGGACAACGACTAGGCTTTGCTCGGTCCTTCCAGGCTCAACGCGCACAGGTCTTTGCTCGAGATCAACGCAGTTCTGGCTTAACTCTGCGCCGTTCAGCCGAATTTACATGCTAATTTTACTTCCCTCTTCACCAACCATACGCAGCATCCCAGCTGGTACGCTACGCTAGCCAGTGTAGAGCAAGATTACACGCTGTAATACAAGAATCCAAGGCAGCCCGTGTTCAGACTTCGGTCAGGTACCAAGGCACACCCGCCTGCAGGGTCGGGATCAAACGCCGCCATCACCAGTCCAAGAAGTAGGGCCAAAAATAGGGAGGTCTCTGGAGGAGGCGGCGGCGGCGCCCGTCCACACGACCACAAGACAAAACGTGGGCGACATGAGCTTCATTTGCACTCGTACATACGGACTCGGCAGATCTGGATCGCGAATAGCTGGCTCTTTGAATAGACAAAGCCAGCACAGAGATAGTTCGATTTGCCCACGGTAGCCACAAAGCACGCACCCGAGAACACACAGACGCTAGCGAAGGGAATCCAGCTAAACATAGTTCCAAGACCTGCATGATCTACGACCTAAGACTCTCGGCGAACAATGAGTATTCCTTTAACTGCAGAACAATAGTTTTCCACTATACGAAAAGATGACCCACTCGCCTCTGGCCGCGGATGCAGTTGGCACCAGCCGTGCCCAATTATTACAATCGATATCGGCGAGTCTCGCATGTGTTATCATGTTACCCGTGCATACAACCAAAAAAACTTGTGTCAAAACCCGCCCTAGAGCACAGCCAGAAGTCACAGGATTGCGATGGATCTAATGAACAATGGGACGGATAAAACCAGAATCACATCCTAGTGAACCGTATGCCAGCGCCAAGATTGCATCCAACTCTTGCTTCAACCTTGACCCGCCAACCACCAAGGCCAGTGAGCAGTAATACCCCGACGTCTCAAACTATGCCAAGGAACTTTTGCTTGCCTCGGAGTCTCAAATCTGGACTTTGCATGGAGTGCCATGGCTGCCATTCACGGCACATGTGTCATGGGTACTCGGTCTAACCAATGACTTACGAGTCGGTGTCGACTGCAATGCTGCAGTGTCTTTTTTGCATGAATTTCTATCCCCAGAACCCTTGCCTTGTCATGTAAATCACGCACTCCACCGGTCGTCGTAACACTAGTAATACGTTGTACAGCGTGTAGACCAGGCTGTTGTAGGTTGTGCGTGTTAGTCAAGGTATTACAAGGTCGCCCCCAAATTTTTACTTTTATCATTGTGATAACTCGTTACGGGCTTGTATGTAGTACGTGTGTCCTAGCCCATACATACACACAGTACGACACATTGTCTAACCATGTTTGTGGTCTCGTGCCGTGGATGCAATTTTTATGTCGCAAAATTATTACAGGACCCTGTCTGCCTTTTTTCAGTACGGGTCGGTCCGCTTTGTATGACTCTCTTCTTTTTGAACTTGACGTCAAAGAAAAAGAAAGTCAAATTGATTTTTTTTAAAGAATGAAAAAATGGAAGGGCAATAAAATTACAGGAGTTACTACAACGCATGCAAGTCCATCCCCAACCCTGGACCCCAACCCAATCAGAGCCAGGATTGTCGGGTGTCGCAAGAGGTGAAACGACAGGGAAGGCTATATTATGCACCTTGGCATGTGGGCTGGACATGGGCATGAGAACGAAAATTGGAGTCCACGATGAGGAGGCTGATTGGTGCTCTGTCCGATCTGATCTGTTCGTCTCCCGTCGTCGGGCTGCTTCATCCGTGTATTAATAATATCTCATTCGACTACAGAACAAGAGTACGTGACTGGACCTTTGCGGCATTGAAGTAATGGATGATGACGGGGAATCTTTTGTTCTCGAGTCTATTCTGGGCATCTAGTTGTTCTCGAAGGCATTGAGCCCGTCTTGAATCTGTGTAGTAACTCTTCCTCGGTACAGTATACACCATCTCAACCTTAAGAGTTTATTAAGAACTTACTGCGGACGCAAGACATCGCAGCAACAAGAACAACAAAACGAGATCCCTCCGCCCCCCGAACGCATAAGTACCCCGACAAGTTCATCCGTCCAGCAACTCAGTTTGTAAGCCGAATGGAGCACCGGCGTTTACAGAGTGGTATTTTCTTCTATCCATATCTAGTCTACTAATGAGATGCAAGTCCAGGTGTATATATCTCACACCTGTTTGTTGTACACGCTTGACCCACGACGCCATCGCTGAAACGAAACTCGGCTCGTCTATCCTCTTCGATACCATGTACTCTTACAGCCAGTCATTACCGAAAAAAAGAAAAAGAAAAGACGAGCTCTCCCATATACCCATTTATCCCTCAAAAACATCATGCTGCAACTCAATGCCATAGTCCTGCGCGACACCTCTCATTCTCCTCTCCATCTCGTCTTCCATGCCACCCCCCAGTCCCAACCACTGCCTCAGCTTGAAAAAGTAAAATGCCACATCGGTCCCAAACATGACTGTTTTAAAGAGCAAGTGTCTCCAGGCGTTGGTCATCCTCTGCGTCACGGGGAGGTTCTTATCCTGGAACAGGCTCCTGCTCGCCCACTCGCCCATCATCTTGACCCTGTTGACGGGTGATCCCAGATACTGATTGTTCCCTTGGACAATGCGCATATTTCTTCCGATGAAGATAAGCTCCTTGGGCCACTTCTCCTCGTCGGCCAGCATATCGCGGAGACTCTGCTTCATCAGCTGCTGCATGGCGTAGTGTCGCTCCGCGGGCGTCTTGCCCTCCAAGTCATTCTTGATACTGTTGCGGAGCGAGTTGTCGCCGCCCTCGTAGGGGCGCATGAGCGTGGCGCTGGCGAAGAAGTCGGCGCCCTTGATGCCCCACTCCGACGTGACCCTCGAGATGGTCTTGTTGTCAAAGGTCATGAGGGCTTTCCAAAAGGCGCTATACTGGTGCCGAAACGTCGGCGACATGTACACGTAGAGGCCGTGGTCGATGAGGACCAGCTCGGCACGCCCGCTGGGCAGACGCCGGATGAAGATGTTGCCCGGGTGGGGGTCGCAGTGGACGACGCCCCATTTGAAGATTTGCGCCGAGAACAAGTCGACCATGGTCGTCATGACTTCCTTGGTGGAGAGGCCGAGGCCGCCGCGGCCGCGGGCGCCCTTCCACTCCTGGCGCTCGGGCTTGATCTTCTCATTGTAGGGCCTTGCGCGGAGCTCTCGGCGGGCGGCGGCCATGTCTACAGGCGGCAGCGCCGTCTTCGCACCCGGCGAGCCTTTGCCGTGGCCGCCAAGCCAGCGCGACGTGAGGGCCTTCTTGTCCCAGAGCCGGACGCCTTCGATCCACTCCGTCGTCAGCACGCGCTTCGTGGTGAGGTCGGAGTAGACGACGGGCACGTAGACTCGGCCCCTGAGGCTGCTCTCCGAGTTGACTAGATTTCTCATCGTCTCTGAGTTTTGGGCCTCGTTTAGGAAATCCGTTTCTAACTCGAGACGTTCCGTGATGAAGGGGACGAGTGTGTAAAGCGGGAGGTCGAACCACTTGGAGTAGATCCATGTAACGGCCCTGCGTGCATTTGTCAGGATCCTCTCCTCGTCCTCCCCATCACTGGAGTTTGGTATGTTGAGGGTAAAAAAAAAAAAAAAAAAAGCTAGAGGGGGCCCCCGAAAACCCCTCGGCCC